AAAAATTAAGAAAAAAATTATATAGACACAAAGTACAAATAGTCATTTAAAATATTCCCAAGTCTTTTAAGGTGCTATATGCCCCTCACATGGCAGTGTAGACTCAGATTGTGTTCTGATCCATGCTAAAAGTTAAAAAATGTTGTATGAGTAAAGAAGAAACCCTTGAAAGGTTAAGCAGTTACAGTTGTTTTCCTACACTCATGTCCCTCATCCAGTTCAGCATCTACAAACTGAATTATTAAATTACTATAATACTGTTTGACCAAATTAAGGAACTACTGTGATTTACAGAGGGTTTTTTTTTCTCCCTTGTTTTTTACTATATATTTCTTTTATAGAGAATCAAATTGCAAGTTTCTTTAGCCCTAAGGAAGTTTTTTGAGCACTGAGTATGTTTTAGAAAGACCTAATCTCTGTTACAAATTTATTCTTAAAATGTTAAACATGTATAAATCATGTCTTACCCTTGCCTTAATCCTGAATTCCCCCATTGAAAATTCCCAATAATTTTTGTCTAGTGTCTGCTAAGACTATAAAGAACAGAGGTAGACAACCAAGGTAAATGACATTGCCTCTGGAGTCAGACTACCTGAGTTTAAACCATGGTTCCATTGTTAACTAGCCATGCATGTTAAATAAACTAACACATTGAAAGGCTTACTGCAGTGCTTGGTTCATAGTAGGTAAGTACATTATTTTAATTACTAGAAGTATCATCAGTAACAGTACATTGATTACCTCCCCTGGTAGTCCTTACCATTAATGAGCAGTCTGTTATTATTAACTTTATTAAAAGTAAAAAAAGTAGGGCCCTCCCAGGTGGTGCAGTGGCTTAAAAAGCGCATTGCAAGCAAGCCACAGCCGCTTCAGTACGAGTTTGATCCCTGGCCCTAGAGGTGACCCACATGGTGCAGCAGATCTCTCCTGTCTCACCTGCTGCTCTCCTTAGCAGTGTACTTCGTCATTCTGCCTGTTCTGTTCCCCATTCTGTCTCTGGTGAGTCTTTTCCCGACCCCTGTGCCTCTGGCCTGTACCGCAGTTCTGTATGCATAAAGAAATCTTTTTTTTAAAAAAAAGTAAATTAATACTTGTTCCCTTAAAATATGTTACCCTACTAAGGAAATAACCGCTAATGTGTGGTATAGTTAGAATCAATAACAAATTTTGAACTTTGTCAAAGGCCTTTTTAGCACTTAAGAATATCTTTTTTTCCCCTTTGTTCCATTATTGTACTGAATTACATTTATGAATTTCCTAGTACTGACCCTCCCTGTCACAGTCTAGAATAAATTCAGCTTGTTCTAATCGCAGTGAGCAATTGCTGAAACTTGGGTGTCTTTTTTTTTTTTTTTTTTAAGATTTATTTATTTGTGCATACAGAACTGGGGTACAGGCCAGAGGCTCAGGGGCGGCGAGAGGCTTCACCAGAGACAGAGTGGGGAGCAGAACAGGCAGATCAATGAAGTACACTGCTGAGGGGAGCAGCGGGCGGGTCAGGAGAGGTCTGCCGCGCCATGTGGTCACCTCCAGGACAGGCGGGAATCGAACTCATGAGGAAGCGGCTCCAGATTCTCAGTGCTGCGCTTTAACCCGCTGCGCCACCAGGGAGGGCCAGGGTGTCTTTTTTTTTTTTAATCAACTATTTATGCTTATTTCTTCATCTATACTTAGCACTTCATAGAAAAGCATGAATTTTCTAAGCTTTGAAGCTCACCAGTGTCCCTGTTTCATTTACTAGGTAAAGGACCAAGGAAATGCATTGATGGAACACCACTTTGAGGTCTTTGTAGAGAAAGTTAAAGGACTGGCCCCACTTCAGGCAACAGTCTGGGGAGAAGCAGATTGCTATGTCCAGTACTACTTTCCGGTTCAAGACTCACAATCCAATGTGCTCAAAGGACCTGAGTTCCTAGAAAATGGTAGGTTGGGTGAGTAGGCCTTGTCATTCTTGCTTGGGTCATTTTTTGGATACAGTGTTTTATTCCTGGGTCAATCTTTTATTCCTGAATATTTATAATTTTATCTGGAAAGTACAGGAGATAACTAAGTTTTTGTTTTTCTTTTCTTGTACTGTTTTGTTTTGATATGATTTCAAATTTATGGAAAAATCACAAAAATTATACAAAGAACAGCTGTATACCCTTTGGCTTAGATCCACAGATTATTTACATTTGGTCCCATTTTACTTTATTGCATGCCTGCTGTCATCATGTGGACACATTCAGCTGATTCTCATAATGATGTTCTGTGAAGATGCTGAGTGTGCCGAGTTAGGGAATATTGAACCATTGCTCCCAAGGAAAATATGTGTAACTAGACATATCTCACATAGATCATAATTTAAATCCAAAAGACAACTTAATAGTGGTAGATTTTTTTTTTTTTTAATTTTACAAAAGAGAAAATGAAGTTCAGAGTGTTAAGTGACTGAGCCACCTCCCTCCCCATGTCCAGTAAGGACACATCCAGCTGGCCTAGAGCCAGAGCTTCTTGCACTACCTCACACTGCTCCCTCTGACTTCATCTTCTGGTCATCTGTGAGTACTAAAATAAGAAAGTAGTGTTTCTTCTTGTTGGGGCTCAACTGGGAATGAGAGATGAACTCAGTTTTTACCCTCTTAGCATGCCCACAAATAACTGTAGAAATGCTGCTAGTATTGATTGAGGGGTTCAAGTAAAGGTTTTGTTTCCAGAATATAAAAAAAAAAACCTTTATAAATCATTATTAAAAAGACAACCCAATTAAATAATAGGATCCCAATAGACATTTCTCCAAAGAGAAATAGTCAGTCAGTAAACATATAAAAAGATACTCAACATTATTAGTCATTTAAGGAAGAAAAAACAAAACAACCACAGTATACCCCTTCACATCCAGTAAGAAGGCAGTATTTCTTAAAATAGCAAACATAAACCAGAACTTAACAAGTATTAGTAAGGGTTTTCCACCAACAAAGCTCTACATTGTCATGGGATCTTAGGGACCCATAGCTGCTAAGGAAATGAATGTTGGTAGGAGTAACATAGTTAGAAGAGAGGACCTGGCCCAGGTCTGTGACCACCTAGTTCTTACTCAAGGTGTCCTGTCCCACCTGGGGAGTAGGAGTAGTAATACCTGCTTTGTTTTCCACACAAGAGAGCTTTGTGAAATAAAATTGAATAATACTAGAATAAACATTTGCTTAACTACATTAAGAAACACTAAGCAACATGTTGATTATTCTTTATTGTTTTTCTTTCCAAAGGAATCACTCTGAAGCCCTTCAGATCTACAACCACACTTTGTATTCCAGATCCCATCTTTAATAGTGAGCACCATCATTCTCTCCTGTTGCCAACTGAAATTCCAGTGCAAAGACTCCTACTCAGTGCCTTCTCTGCACAGGGGCTTGTACCTGGTGGCGGAGTCCAGTTTGAAATCTGGTGCAGGTACTGTGTGGAGAACACAATCTTTTCCCTAGGAACAGACTGCACACAATTATAGAGCATCGTCCCTTAACCAGCCTAGATTGAATTTAAGGGAACTAAACCGCCCTTTTGACCCTGTTTTTGCATTTGAGCGTGATAGTAACTTCTGTCCAGATTTTAATATTAAAATCTTAATCTGTTAGGCTCTTGGGAGCAGTTCTGTCTTATAGTTTTAACTACTCATATGTGGAATTGAAGTTCTGATCAGTTTTACTTTGTCTCTTAAATGATTTAGTCACCTTTTTTCTGCTTCTTTTAGTTCAGGTTCTGATGCGAACCGTGAGAATTCATGCCTGAATTACTGTGATAGCTTCCTACCTGGATTCCCCACAGTCTAGAACTGTTATCTGTTTTTCCCACCACCAGCATCACTTCTCAGACTTTGGCAAATTCCTAGGGAAGAGAGTGAAATGAGATATTTGTTCAATCTCCCCCTTTGCTTCCTCATCCCTAAGAAATGACTAAGAAAGAAATTACTGAGTATATAAAAGTAAAAGGAGAAAAACAACATCAAGAACAGAACTAAATGTAGCTCTCTGCCTGCTTGTGACTACACAGGTGCCTCTGTTTTCCTTTTTTCTAATAACCTGTTCTTGTAAATGTAAAGAAAAAAAAAAGAACTAAGAAAGAGATCTAGCCATCTTCTAGAAACTTTTCCTAAAAACAGTCAAGTGAAGTGAGGTTTGCTTTATCACTTTGTGATCTAAGAATGGGATATTCTGACATGAGAAGAAAATAGAGTAATTTCTAATAGACATTCATTATCCCTCCAAATTTGAGGGGCTTAAACCTGAAGCCATAAGAGATTAGGACTTAGAACTGCTTTGCTATTGTGGGTTGATGCTCTCAGAAGTGACAGCTGCCAGAGCTCCAAACCATATGCAGATACTTAAAACATAAAATCTGTGGGAAGCTGGGCTTTGTGCTGAACATAGGATATAATTTATGGGTTCCTCCATGCAATGAGCAGTCAATCCAGCCAGACATGACTAGAACTGTATACTGCAAATATAGAACAGTCACAAAAATAACAAGATGCTGAAAGGGGATCCCTGGGACAGACTGAATCATTCATCCACCTAATTCATCAAACTGATAGCTTGTGCTTTTGTGGCTTACAGATACTATTATCCTGATGTGAGAGACCAGATGGTCGCCAAAGGAACCTTGCCATTATCAAGGATCTGTGCCATGGTCACCATGGAGCACCGTGAGGATACAGGAATACAGACCTTTAATCTCCCTTTAACTCCCAAGCTTGAGAACAGGAGAGAACTGAGGAACCAATCATCAGGTAATTGAAGACTGGTTTGTCTTTCCTTTTGAAGCCAGTTTACATAAATATCTCCTTTTTCTAAGTTAGCAGTTTTTTTTTTTTTAAAGGTTTACTCTATTTGTGCATACAAGAGCTGGGGTGCAGAGTGGGGTGAGAGGATTCACCAGAGACAGAGTGGGGAGTAGAACAGGTGATTGACTGAAATATACTACTGTGGGGAGCAGCGTGTGAGACAGAAGAGGTCTCCTGCACCATGTGGGTCAGCTCCCTGGCCAGGAATCAATCTCATGCTGCAGTGGCTGCCCATAGCTTCATAGTGCTGAGACATAACCCCTTGTACCATCAGGGAGGTCCTCTAAGTTAGTAATTTTTCACATTTTTTTTAACATTTAACTTTTTTTTTTTAAGATTTTATTTATTTGTACATACAGAACTGGGGTACAGGCCAGAGGCTCGGGGTGGCGAGAGGCTTCACCAGAGACAGATTGGGGAGCAGAACAGGCAGATCGATGAAGTACACTGCTGAGGGGAGCAGCAGGCGGGTCAGGAAAGGTCTGCCACGCCTTGTGGTCAACTCCCGGGCAGGCGGGAATTGAACTCATGCAGAAGTAGCTTTAGCTTCTCAGTGCTGTGCTTTAACCTGCTGTGCCACCAGGGAGGGCCAATACTTAACTTTTAAAGAATCTGGTGAAAATTATGAGCCACCTTCTCTTAGAAAATAAGCATAAAATATGTATTGCTAATTTCCATATAATTTTAGAAAATCCATACTTCTATGGTTATATAAACATTGGCTTGTCTCATTTCAACTTTGACTCTAGCAAGCCTTTAATAATGTCCTCAGGGTATAATGCTAAATATAATGAAGCTATACTCAGAGAATCTGTTCCCAGGCAATATAAACAAAGGTGGGGCTGACAGAATACAGGTATTATGAACTTGGAATTCACTGTAGAGGAGGAGGAGCATGGGAGGGTGAGTGAGGCATGTACACATATGGAAGAGTAAAAGTATAACCCCAGAGTTATATAGACATTTAAATGACTGGCAAATTACATTTAAAAATGCACTTCTGGGGCCCTCCCTGGTGGCGCAGCGGGTTAAAGCACAGCACTGAGAAGCTAAAGCCACTTTCGCATTTCGATTTCCGCGCCTGCCCGGGAGGTGACCACATGGCGTGGCAGACCTCTCCTGACCCGCCCGCTGCTCCCCTCAGCAGTGTACTTCATCGATCTGCCTGTTCTGCTCCCCACTCTGTCTCTGGTGAAGCCTCTCGCCACCCCTGAGCCTCTGGCCTGTACCCCAGTTCTGTATGCACAAATAAATAAATCTTTAAAAAAAAAAAAATGCACTTCTGGCCCTCCCTGGTGGCGCAGTGGGTTAAAGCACAGCACTGAGAAGCTAAAGCCACTTTCGCATTTCGATTTCCGCGCCTGCCCGGGAGGTGACCACATGGCGTGGCAGACCTCTCCTGACCCGCCCGCTGCTCCCCTCAGCAGTGTACTTCATCGATCTGCCTGTTCTGCTCCCCACTCTGTCTCTGGTGAAGCCTCTCGCCACCCCTGAGCCTCTGGCCTGTACCCAGTTCTGTATGCACAAATAAATCTTTTAAAAAAAAAAATGCACTTCTAAAAAGGAATCAGAAAATTTATTTTTTGCAGACTTAAATGCATTTTTTTGAGATCACAGTATTTATACTGTGTATGATAGAAAAGTATAGCATAACACCCTCTTAGATGTATGTTAACACACCAAATCCAAAGCCATTTAAGGGTTTAAAAAAGAAGAATGGCTAAAGTTCATCTCAATTCTCTAAAAATAACTGGGATTTTAGAAAATCTTTGGTTTAGTTCCACCTGTTAAGTTAGTTCTGATCTTAGGAAGCAATTCAGTTTTCTTAGATGTAAAGCGAGGACAGTGACTTCTGTTCCACCTTTATTAATGTAAAGTACAATAATGCAAAGTGATTCTGACCACGAACAGATTCCCTTACTGTTCATTAGGTTTGTAATGTTTATCCTTTTCCTTACTTCCTGATCAGGACTTAGGATTTGGTAAAACAGATTCTTCCAACCATCCTTTATCTTTTTTCCTCTTGTTTTCCTCCTTCAGGTTTACTGGATGTGGGCCTAAGGTACAGGCGCACTGCAAGGACAGCAGAGGGAGTACTTGCTGCCAGAACCGTCTCTCTCTCAGTTCAGATCATCAGAGCCTGTGGTCTGCAGGCTGCAGCAGAGTAAGTCCATGTTGGAAAAATAACTCACAGACATTTCCATTGTGGCCCACACACTCTGGGATACTCAGAGAGGCAACATTTTCTTGTTTCCAGCTCATTAGCCACAACTCTGCTTTTTTCTTTTTCTCTTAAGGAAACAGGTAAGAATATAAGTGAGTAAATCACTTGCAGGCTTTGTATTTTAATAATTAGCAACTTAGTTCCTTGCCCTTGTCCAAAAATTGCATCCTCTCCCCTCCATAGCCACTTACTCCCACAGTCATGCTATACCTCCAACCATGCCATGATCAGTCATTACAGCTCCTACATACTCACGTTCAGTCTCTGTAGACCACCTCCTGTTTTTGTAACTTTTCCCCTTCAGTCTGTCCTCAGTAAATCCAGTAATCCTATGAAAAGTTAAGTCAGAACTTGACACGTGTCTCCTTAAAACCCACCAATCACTTTCCATCTTATTCAAAGACTCCTTAAAATAGCTATAATGTGCCACATGATCTAACCCCATGTTATCATTATGACATTATCATCTCCTGCTAATCTCCCCTCTCTAGCCCCTGGCCTTTTTTTTTTTTTTCCTTTTTTTTAAAATATTTTTATTTATGCATGCATGCAGTACTAGGACAGAGGTGCAGGGGCGGTGAGAGGATTCACTGGAGACAGAGTGGGGAGCAGAACAGGCAGATCGACTGAAATATACTGCTAAGGGGAGAAGCAGGCAGGTCAGGAAAGGTCTGCCACCTCCCTGGTTGGGGATCAAACTAGTGCTGCAGTGACTGTGGCTAGCTTCATAGTGCTGTGCTTTAACCTGTTGTGTCACCAGGGAGGGCCCCCAGTCATTTGACTATTAACCATCATTGTAGATTAATTCATTTGAAATGAAATTGTAGTAAGCACCCACATATACATACTTTTCTACTATTTGTTGTATCTTTATGCTTTCTTAATTTAGCAAGGAGGAAACTGAAACTTAGAAGAGGCTGAATAATGTTTCCAAAGTCACACAGTTAAATAAATGGTGGCTCCGGATTCAAATCCAGATCTTTATAAATTGGTATTACTAACTTCTGTTCATGTATACCAAATACAGTAAGCATCTTAGAAGAAAGAATCCCTAATCCTACTTTGGGACTATCAGGGAATCCTACAAAAAGAGGTGGCCTCTTTGTCTAAATGTTTATACCTTGAGGGATTTGGGGTAAGGGAGTCTATCTCATACTATACCCACATACAAGATGACTACTCTTTTATGAGTTATTAGTTAAAGATGGGTAGAGTCTATGTTTACATTGTGAAATATCTGATAAAACAGCAGCCCCCAACACCTGGGAACTGACCCGACATTCATAGGTAGTTTGGTGGGTTTTTTTTTTGTTTTTTTTTGTTTTTTGTTTTTTTCATTTTATTAAAAAGTTTATTTTTACATCATTTTTCACATTTTTTTTAGTTTGGTGTTTTACTGTGGACTATAAACAGTTGCACAGGACACCAGCATTAGACAAGACTGCTATGACCATGATCAAATGAGACAAAAATAAGATTACTCCAGAATCTTATCTAAGCACAAACCAAAATAAGGTCATAATGAAAACCACAAAAATATCCAGCATATCCCCATTCTGGTGAGTCTTCCCTCCTTAATAAGATTCATTGAGAACAACAATCCAGGTAAAGTTCTGCTTCACTGAGCATTCCTAAAGTTAGTTAACCTGAGCTCAGTGCTATAAATCCTCACTGATTCCATCTCACTTAGATGACCCATAATTCTTCATGATGTGGGTTCTCCTTCATTGCAATGAACAATAAAAACTTATTCATTTACAGTTGATTCCTTGGAATGTCACTCTACAATGCAGATGACTGTTGTCTTCTCCGACACCCACACAACATGCACTGTTTTTTTCTAGATTATGACAAAAACACATTTGGCAATGCCAAAAGCATTGATAGGAAGGAGTAAAGATGTGTCTGTATAGTCAAGCTAATTTCTAATATTACATCTTCTCATCCCCACCTTTCTCTCTCTCTCACCCCCAGGACTTTGGCTGAGCAGGAACCGGCTCTACAGTTTAGTGCTACAGTTGGGGTCAATGCCTTTGTCACCATTCATCTCTCCTTCCTGCCCAAGGGAGAACAGCGCCGAACCCGCCCTGTGGCCCGTTCTTTCTGCCCTGAGTTCTCCCATCACGTTGAGTTCACATGTAACTTGGTAACTCAGCACTGCAGTGGGGAGACCTGTTTCCTCGCAGAGCTGTTGGAATTTGCAGAGGTTACTTTTGCTGTTTATCATGAGGATACTAAGTCAGGTGAGCACCAAATGACTAATCATAATCAGAATTAAATGGGGCTCTGTTTAGAATGGAAACAGATACTAGGAGATACACATTGAAGTGTTTAAGGATCATAATCTCTGAACTTCTAAAGGGTACAGCAAAAAGTAAATCTATTTTATGTGTGATGTATGTATATGTGAGAGAATGTAGAGAGGAATAAAGCAAATGTGACTGGATGTTAGCGGGTGAGTCTAGGTGACAGGTATCTAGGAGTTCATTATAATATTCTTGCAGCTTTTCTGTGTGCCTGGTTTTTTTCCCTCTTTTTCTCTGTGTGTAGAACTGAGGTGTAAGCCAGAGCTGTAGAGGGTGAGAGGATTTACCAGAGACAGAGTGGGAGCAGAACAGGCGGATTTGCTGAAATCCGATGCTAGGGGGGAACAGCAGGCAAGACAGGAGAGTTCTACTGTGCCATGTGGGTCAGCTCCCTGGCCAGGGATCAAATTCTGGCCACGTGGGTGATAACAGAGACTTAACCCCCAGCCACCAGGGAGGCCCACTGATTTTTTTTTAATAAAATGATTTAAATACATATACATTCATGACTAATGATGTAATTAAAAACTATTCAGAGGGCACTTGAACTTTGCAGAAAGATGCTCTCTAATGGCATCTTCTAAAACTGAGATTTATTGAGTATAAGTGAAGTGTTATGTGAATACTGTAAACACAAACCTTTTGTCAGTGGACCAAATAATTTTTCTGTTCTGCTTTATTTAACAGCAAGTGATATAACCAGTATCCAGTCATTGAAAGAGTATCTGCTTGGAGTTGTAAAAATTCCAACCAAAGAGCTTCTGATGAAGAGATCTGGTAAGGATCCTGGATTGTCATTTTTCTAATCCTACCCTTTCCTGTTCACTTCCCTGCAAGAGATCATCATTCATGGTGTCCATGCACGATATGCAAAATAAAACATGACCCCCCCATTATACATGCTTCTGAATTCTCTCAGATACCTTAAAAGTTTTCTCCAAAGCACTCTAAGTCCTCTTTTCATGCCATTTCAATGTTTTCTGTTAAAGCAAAGCAGCTCAAAACATTTTACTATCTTCTTATACCAGGAAAAATGATGATGATACCAGTGATTAGTAGGCAATACCTATTATATTATATAGCACTTTGTAAAATATTTCCTAATAACTGTTTAAATCTCATAGTACCCTACCTATGTGAGGATACGGGGTCTTATTATTTTCATTTGACAGATGAGAAAACGTAAACGCACAGAAACTGAGTGATTTGCAAAAACTACACAGCTAGTGAATACTGGAAATCAAATCCAAGTTCATCCATTCTTTTTCATTATACTCTCCTCTCTCAATGAAGAAAGAATAAGAATATGAGGTAAAGACCCAAAAGAAGGATAAAACCACCAAGACAGTCTGGAAATACTAGTCCCATACTACTTATTCCTAACTCGGTTACCTTGACAGTGACCGTTAGCTCTGAGCCCAGCTTTTTTAGCTAGTGGTTGGAAAAAGTTAACCCTGACAAGGCTGCAAGTAGGAATTCATGAAATAGGAGATACAAAATGATACAGTAGGCACTTAGTAAATGTTCATTTTCCTTCTCTTGCCTATCTTCTTCCCTAGGATTGTATATCTGGTTTCCAAAATTCTGTCATATAGCTCCCAAGTTTGTGAATTGTATGAACATTGGTTTTGTTTGTTTGTTTTAATTTTTTTTTAAGATTTATTTATTTGTGCATACAGAACTGGGGTACAGGCCAAAGGCTCAGGGGCAGCGAGAGGCTTCACCAGAGACAGAGTGGGGAGCAGAACAGGCAGATCTACAAAGTACACTGCTGAGGGGAGCAGCGGGCGGGTCAGGAGAGGTCTGCCACACCATGTGGTCACCTCCGGGGCAGGCGGGAATCGAACTCATGTGGAAGTGGCTTTAGCTTCTTAGTGCTGTGCTTTAACCCGCTGCGCCACCAGGGAGGGCCTGAATGTTGTTTTAATAAACATTTGCTGTGTAACTGCCAGAGAAAAATATGAAAAGGACTCAAGTCTTACTCTGCCACTTACTGTTGTGATCTAGAACAAGTTACTTCATTTCTCAAATCCAGAATTTTGGAAACCAGATATACCATCCTAGGGAGGAAGATAGGCAAGAAAAGGAAAATGAACATTTACTACTTCACAAGATTATTGCTGCATTCAATGACAATACACATGTGAGAAGTCTTGGGACAAGGCTGGATATATATGCCTTAGTTTCCTTCCTTCTAAATTTCACTAGAGAGTTTGTCAGGGATCAGAGACCACCTGGGATTTTCTATCTCTATAAATTGAATTTGACACCTTGGAAATAAACCCTTTAGAAAATTTGGAGTATGTCAAAATTAAGTTCAGTTTATGTATTATATTAAAGGACCTAAAATCTGAAAAATTCTAAATTCAGAAATCTGATCCAAGGATTTCAGATAAAATGTTATAATTTTATAAGTGGTGAACTATGCATTTTGGAACCAGATAGACTTAGATTCAAATCCCATCTCTACCACTGGGTAGCCATAATAATTTGCAGAGGCCTCTGAACTTTCATCTTCAAACCTAAAATAGGAGTTACTGTCCCATTTAAACCTCAGAACCTACAGGGTTAGTATAAGAACTAAATAAAACAATACATATAGAGCACGAGCAAAATTTCTGATGCATAGTGGGTACTCAGCAATTACTCAGTAGTTGTTACTACTGTTGCCTGGTGTTTGGCATGTGTTTAAAGTTTCCTTGGTGGGAGACATGCTATCTTTTGTATACCTTTTGTACTTATAACACCATAATTTTATTTCACATTGTTTAGAGCACTGTTTTTCAAAGCTCTCTCAAAACTATTATCTGATCTATATAACTTTGCCAGGTAGGCTAAATCAGCATTAATTTTCCCATCAGACATGCAAGGAAACCAAAACTGAGAGAAGTTAATGACCGCCCAGCTTGAACCATAAATTTGGGACCAAGCCATGGAGAGAATTCAGGTCTTCCAGCTATTGGCTTTTGTTCTTCTATCTAATTTCACTCCTTTCAGAGGTCAGATGAAACAAGCATCAGTGCCTGTGGCTGTTTTATATTTTTCTATGGACTAGGGTGATGGTAACTTTAGAGCAATAAGTGGGTAAGATTTTTGCTTTTCAGATAATCATTGAGATTCTTTCTTTTCTCCCTTAAGGGATCACAGGATGGTATCCTATCATTTTGCCAGAAGATGGGACCCTGCCTCATGGTTTGGAGCTCATGCAGAAGATTGTAGGTGGTCTTGAACTTTCTGTTTCTTTCACCCATCCTGGAGACAGGGAGCGGGTGCTGGAAGCCTCAGAGCTATTGGGCTGGAGCTTTGACAATAACCTGAAGGATCTTATGAAGATGGATGAAAAGGACCCAGCCACTGTCACCATCTCCACCCCAAGACTCTGGCTGCCCATCCATTGTGTGTTGCTTGCCGGCCAGAGGCATATTCATAAGAGCACATACTGCTATCTCCGCTACAAGCTGTATGATCGTGAAGGTTTTTGGACTCCTCTCAGGAAGCCTAAGGAACTTACAAACAAAAAGCAGGTCACGGTTACTTTCAAGGCATCCAAAAGAGCAGAAGTCACTAGAAGCCCATCACTACTTTGGTACTTCAGGGAGGAGAGGTTAGAGATCCAGGTGTGGCGGGCTTTTGGCAATGACAGTGTGGAAAGGCCACACCAGACGGACACCTGGATTGGCTCAGCCTATGTGGACCTGGCCAGACTTGGGGAGAGGTCAGCAAAGACGCTGACTGTCAGTGGTAAGTGAGGAATAGCAGTAGTTTGAGAACTTGCTCTTTGCCAAGTTCTATGTGAGACTTCCTCCCAGACATGATTTCATTTGCTTCTCCCAGAATCCTGTAAGATGGATAATCACAGGATTTCATTTTATAGTCATGAAAATTGAGGCTCAGAAGGTTATGTAACTACCCAGAGTCACAAGCTGTTAAGTGTTCTTTCTATCATTGCATAATTAATAATAATTTAGTAATGTTTCTTGTTTTGTCACTAAGATTAGACAAAGATGGAGGTATCTGAGAATGAAAGCTGCCCTGACAAAAACTATAAAATAGTTTTTAATCTTTATGTGTAAGGGTCCTTAGATCCTGTTTTGCTTTGGTTTATAAGATTACTTGACAAGATACTTACAGAATCTCTAAGCATATCAAGCTCTTAAATTCCTCTAAAACAGAGAGATGAATGCATTGCCACCATGAATAATGTAGGTGGTTGGAAGAGGGTAGCTGGCAATACACATTCTCTTTATTGTCATCTGGAATCCAGGGCTGTCAACACCACAGCATAGTAGTTATCCCATTTGAAATCCCTAATCATCTGACACCTCTCAAGAAATTTCCGTAAGAAAGGCATTTTCTAACACCAGCATACCTTGTTGGTGTCACCACCAAACTGGCTCTGACCTTTTTAATTTGGAGTGCATCCAGATTCATCAAATTTTGTACCTGATGTAATGCCTAGAACATTATAAACACTGTTAATATGTGTGAACTAAGAGTGAATGAATTTAAGGACATGTGTGAGCCTATTAATAATTAGAATGCTAGCTAGTTTTAGATACACTGAGAAGCATGCCAGCTAACGAGCCTAGGAAATTCTTTCTCTCTGGTCAGCACATCTTGGAAACATAAAGAAAATCTATATCTAACACATAGTTCACAGGAAGAAAAAAAAAAGGTTAACATTTTCAAGTGTCTTTATATGTTGGGTGCTTTTCTTTCAAACATTGTTCCATACTTGACCCTAGGAACTCAGAGATGAGTAAGAAATAGTCCCTGACCACCTGAGTTTTTATTCTGTGGGAGAGTAAGAGTAGTAAATACTTACAATGGAGAGTAAGAACTATGAAAAAGGTATTCTCAGTTGCACAGTGGGAGACAGGGATGCAACATCTGTTTGGTTCAAGAACAACATCTCAGGAGAAGTGATACTTAACCCAAATTTCAAAGGATTTTGGAAGAAGCCAAGAAAAGGGAGAAAACAGGGTATTCTAAAATAGGAATAGCCTATGGTAAGGCACAGAGGGGTGAAATAGTCTGATACATTTTAGGCACTACTTTGATTTTGCTGGGTTTTTAGAATGCATAGATTGGGAAATTATGAGAGTTGAAACTAGACAGGTGGACAAGAGTACTATGTTTAAGGCCTTCTCTAAGCAGAATTTAGACTTCGTTCTGAGTGCTATAGAAAGCTGTTGTAATGGGTTCTGAAGAGAATGACATAGCTTTGCATTTTAGAAAAAATTAGTCTTAGCAAATATGATGCAGAGAATGAATTGGAAATGGACAGACTAGCTGGATGACAAGCCTAGTATTTATTTATCTTGACATTCCTGGAATGTTATTTCCACACTTACACTAGAAGGCCCTATTAGCCTTATGCTCTGACCCTGTTGTTGAGCAGAAAGTCCAAGCTAATGTAGGAGAATTAAATGTATGTGGGATCTGTCCACATGCTCTGGTTCTCTCCATAATGAGCAGGTATGATTGATCACTTCATCAAATGCCATGTATCTTATTTTATTTGGCCTGGTATAGAATCACAAGAAAAAGACTACAGAAAAAGTTCTTGAAGTGGACAAAGCTCACTAGAACTACAATTCATAAAGACAGGCTTTTAACTTCACTCTGCTCAAGAAAGACGGTTTCGGAAACTGAATATAGATTTAAGAGTATAGACACTGATTCTATTGAGTGATACCAAAGGTGGTATTCAATTTGTCAGATGGCCCATTTCCCTCATACTTATCCACTTCCTACCAGTCTGTTTTTCGTCCTTTTGTAAAAGTGCCCTATACTAGGCGTGTGTAGCATTTGATATGTTTGTTGAATCAGTGTCAGTCTGTCCAATCAGCCATCAACCACTGTTAAATTTCTTGAGGATAAAGATTTTACTGTGCTGCTTTTGGATATCTTCTTCACTATAACTTAACCTTGTTTTCTGCTTGTAGTAGTCATAATAATTTACACATTGCATTACGAAGCAGGTTACTCCAAAACAGGAAAAGTAAAGGTTCTATCTCATTACCATCTGTGAATCAATTAATTCCATTTTCCTGATTTGAAATAAGTAATGAAGTAACCTTTGAGATTCTAAAAGAACTATTAATGCCTCCTTCTTTACAAATAAAATCTCACTTAATAACCAGCAAACCAGTTAAATTCACTTCCCTAGGTTTTAATCTGCCACTTACTGGAAGATTTTTCTTGGCAGTTTACTTAACCTGTGTAAGGTACTGGCACATGAAAAACACTCAAAAGGTATTACTTCCCTTTTCTTTCTTTTCTTCTCCTGCCACCACCTCCTACTTCCCTTCTAAATGGGCTTCAGTGCTACCACCAGAATGTACTAGCTGGTGAGATGGGCTAAGTTGAGCATCAGCTTCCTGATGTCCAAAAGGAAGGAGCCGGTGGGACTTCTAGAAAACAGGCCATTCTGATTTAATCAAATCTTGGGCTTTTCAGAGGTTTCACAAGTCATTTAAGTCTAGTTGCCTTGCAACACACAAACTACCTCCTCAGTAGCTCTCTCTACCCTGAGAGCCATTTGGCTTTAGCTTCCAACCAGAGTTCTCAGTGTTTGCCATTACTAGAAATAGTAGTGTATGTGGTAGGGGGAGAGGAGACACATTCTCACACTGTTACTGACTTCATAGTTTCTTTTGTGAATTGATGTATTGAGAACTATAGAACTGCCAAAAAAAAGAACCACCAGCATCCTCCAAGATTATAGGTTGTTCTTAGTTCCTCAACACCAGCCTTATTCTCCTCCATCCTCTTGCAGGTGTGTATCCCCTATTTGGACGAAATGCTTCCAATCTCTCAGGAGCTGCCTTGCGAGTTCATGTGGTTCTGTCTTCTCTTTCCCCACATCTGGGGCCCACTCATGAGCTGGACTCCATGGACTGCAGCAGCCACAGTGAGTCAGAGCAGCTCCCCAGAAGAACTGATGAGAGCTTGCTGTCTCCTCCACATGGCCACCAGAAGTCTGCCTCCACCCAGGTCCCCTGCTGCAGCTCCACACCAGAAATCTGCCCAGCCCCGGAGGGCCCTGCTGAGGATGGAACTTTTGCAGTCAGTATCCTGGTAGAAAGAGCCATGCACTTGAGCTTGAAAGGTATGATGCTCTGTTCACTTATCCAGGAGCATGTATTTGGCTCCAGGATATAGTCCTGTCTTCACAAGTCTTTCAAATTATGGCAGGATCTGCAAGAACTGTTAATCATCCCAATCACTGATTTTTTTTTTTTTAATATTTATTTGTGCATACGGAACTGGGGTACAGGCCAGAGGGTGGTGAAAGGATTCACCAGAGACAGAGTGGGGAGCAGAACAGGCAGATCGACAACGTACACTGCTGAGGGGAGCAGCAGGCAAATCAGAAGAGGTCTGCTGCGCCATGTGGATCACCAACAGGGCAGGCAGGGTCTGAACTCATGCTGAAGTGGCTTTAGCTTCTTAGTGCTGTGCTTTAACCCGCTGCACCACCAGGGAGGGCCTAATCAATGATTATTATATTTCCCAAGTGAAATTTTTCTGAACTGAAGTGGACTTTGTCAGTTATCTTAATTTTGTGTATCATAAATTCCTTAGCCTAGAATATGTATGTCAATTTAGATACCTCTTTTCCTTATCCACCATCAAATCATCATTAAATTGTTCTGTATCTTCCATATCGCTTCCTTCTCCATTCCTGCCAAATCAAGTCCTTTCTTATGTGTCTAGAGCCAAGGGCCCTTAACAATGAATTCATAAACCCCTAAGAGACCTAAGGTGAAAATCAGATTAGTGAACTTGGGCAGGAAATATTACATCTTGATTTTTATTAACTTCTAACTAGAATTTAACATTTCCTCCAAATGTGAATATAGGCAATAGACCCTATTAATATTAACAAAACCTGGAATATTATAAACAATAGAAGTCACAGGTATTTTCATATCATGTTGTAGTTATTGCAGATAGCTTTGAATATCATTTATACTTATTACTCTGAAATTGCAAGTTACTAAACATACAATTAGATTTTATTATTAATAAATCACATATATTACTATATCACAAAATTTGAGTTTGATAATTATGCCGGTATAATTTGATTTGTTATTCCATGTATTTTATATTATGCATTTTAAAAAACACTATTAAAAGAAAGGCCCATAGGGCCCTCCCTGGTGGTGCATCAGGTTAGGATGTAGCACTGCAAGCTAACCGTAGCCACTTCAGTGTGAGTTCAATCCTGGGCCCCGGAGGTGATCCACATGGCGCGGCAGACCTCTCCTGGCCCACCCACTGCTCCCCTCAGCAGTGTACTTAGTCCATCTGCCTGTTGTGTTCCCCACTCTGTCTCTGGTGAAGTCTCTCACCACCCCTGCACCTCTGCCTTGTATATTCCAGTTCTGTATGCATAAATAAATAAATCTTTTTTTTTTTAAAGATTTATTTATTTATTCATACAGAACTGGGGTACAGGCCGGAGGCTCAGGGGCGGTGAGAGGCTTCACCAGAGACAGAGTGGGGAGCAGAACAGGCAGATCCACGAAGTACACTGCTGAGGGGAGCAGCGGGCGGGTCAGGAGAGGTCTGGCTCGCCATGTGGTCTCCTCCGGGGCAGGCGGCAGGCGGGAATCGAACTCATGCGGAAGTGGCTTCAGATTCTCAGTGCTGTGCTTTAACCCGCTGCGCCCCCAGGGAGGGCCAATAAATAAAAAAAAAAAAAAGGAAAAGGCCCATAGACCTCACCAGACAACAGAAGGAGTCCCTTGCCCTACCTTTATTCAGCCTTGTAATCTCTCCAAAAGTTTTCCCTTTGCTATTGTCCTTCACTTTTGCCTGGCTAACTCCATCTCCTCTTAAGACACAACTTAAGCATCACCATTTACCAGAGAATTTTCTGATATGAAGGACACTTGCCCCCCTTCAGTCTCCCCCCACCACTTTGCTTTGTAACACTTTGCCTCATTATAGCATATAGCACAAGGTATCGAAATGTTTCTTTTCTCTTTCACTAGATGTGAGGTATTTAAATGTAGACATCTTACCTCATTAGTCACTGACTCAGCAAAAAAAAATTATATACTATGTAGCATGTACAAACACTATCCTAGGTGCTGGAGATAAATAGCATGAACAAACTACACAAGAATAGTGTCCTTGTGGAACTTACATTCTAGTAGGAATATATTTGGTCCTCTATTCCTAGGCACTAAGTTGCGTGTATAACTTTGAGCAAGTTGTTCTCTTGCTGTTTTGAAGGAGTGGGGTTAACAGTTCCGGATGTATGCTAGTTAATTAGAGCGTGACAACTGTAGCTTTGTGAGTCAGCAGGTTTCAATGTACACTTTTGGTTTGGCTTCCCCCTTGACTCCTAATGTCCCCCTCTCTCAGCTTTTGTCACGCATCCTTAGTGCTGTGCAACAGGGACAAATTCATATGCATAGTAGCTTTTTTTTTTTCCATAGTTATCCTTCACTGCTACTTCTCCCTGACTACAGTATCAATACACATTACTCCCAGATTATAAACCTCTGTAATGATCCCTGAGGATCATTAGTCTTTTTATAACCTTTGTGTCTCAGGGACCTTGAAATATTTTATCTCAAGGCAAAGTCTTCTTCAAGTACAGTATTGCTTTACTGTGTTAGAGATACTGAGATTCCATATGAATCACAAAATTGGGAAACAGTTTATATTTTTTACTGTCCTACTAACGCACCCATTTTTGCCAATTCTGATACATGTAACTGAATTTTTTTATGAATTTTTTTCAGAGACAAATCAGAAGATGAATGAATTAGGGGAAGCACCAAAAAACAGATTTTTTAAAATTTGGGGTGTTTACTATGTTGAAAATAAAATTTAACATATAAAATTGTAGTTTATAGTTCATTATAGGGGGTGTCTCCATTTTGCAAAAAGCAACATACTGTAACTTTTCAACTAAACAACAAGTTACATGTTCTAAATATCACTTGGTATCACTTGGCAAGGTATTGTAACAAAAACTTATTGAACATCTTATCCCAAATTCTGTATTCATTTTTGTACATTCATTATGGAGTTTAATCCTTACCACAAACAGGGCTATGGTGCGTGTAGATTACATGCTCTTTCTTACAAGTAAAGAAAAGAAAGCTCAAAAAGATAAAATTACCTGCATTACCCAGTAAATTCTGCAAAGCCAGAATTTGAATCTATGACTAAATCTAAAACTCATGCTCTTTCCTCTCTACCATCCTGCCTCTCAGATACAGGACATATCTGTGTTTGCCAGTTAGTCCTCTGAACTATGTTTGCCAGTGAGTTGAGCTGAGGGTAGGTATATATTTATTACATGACAATCCTGTGCTTACATTGCAAGGATGGTAATTCAGTTCTGCAAGTAGCACAGACTTAGTGCTAGGCCAGTGCCAGGTACAGGCTACAGAGAAAATCATTTATAGTTTGTATCCCCCAACAGCTAACAACCCATTAAAGAGTATTGAAGACCAAAAAGATAATTTAATGCATAGTGTTTATTGTTTAGAAATCAAGAAATGAGATTGTCTAAAGAATCTAAGAAATGAGGGGAACTTTTTTAAATGAATAAGATTTTACAAAGTGAGAATAAAATTCCAGGTGGATATTTCAATTTGAACAAAGTTAATAAAATAAGAAAATGTGGGTTTGGGCTTCCTTGGAGATAGTGGGGTAGTGGGGAGGGTTTGTGGTAGCAGACCATCATCTTTGGCTATAACTCATCATCACTACAAGGAAATTAGAATAACGAAGCGGTAAACAGGGAACCTGACTAATAAATAAGGTTGTAGAAGAGCTAGGGATGGCACCATGTGACTTTTCTCCAGCCAAGCTTGACTTTTCCTTCCTAATCAATCAGTTCCCCTGACCTTTTTGCTCTGTACTAATTTTTAGCCTGGCTTTCTTTCTCCTTTGCCCAGCTTCCAAACCTCACCTGACATCCTGCTCTTCCTCTCTTTCAACCTGTTCCAAGCACACTAGTTCTACTTTGCTTTTTCTTGAATGTATAGACAGATTCTTGCCTCATGATCTGAGTCTTATGTTCCTCTGCGTACAATTTTCTTCACTTCTGGCATGTCCACTGAAATCTTATCAGCAAGGCCTCTCTTGACCATCAATCTAAAATTGCAGCCCCTCCCCAACATTTCTTATCCATCTTTCTGATTTATTTTGGTCTGTAGCCTTTACTGTGTATTTTTATTTTGTCTTTTTTTTTTTTAAGAATGTAAGTCTTACAAAGACAAGAGGTTTTTGTTGTTCACTCATTTTATTTACTGATTTAAATATAGACTTACAACTATCTCTAAAATGTAACAAGCAGTAAATTTTGTTAAATGAAGAAGTAGGTGATTCTGAAGCCTTGTCAGGTGCCTTCTTCTTATACCTTGTCTGATTTCCTCATTTGCCTCTTCAATAGGAAAGTTGCTTATGGGGAATTCAACAGGATAAATCACAAGAAATTCATGGACTCATTCAACAAATGCTAAGTTTCTACTATCCAACAGTGTAGGGTATAGGATCATACCTCTTACACAGAAAGTATCTACTACCTTTTCTCCATTTTCACTGCCACCTACCTTGTTTAGGCTGAAAATTTTTGATGAATCAGAGAGCCCTATCCATATCTGCTATTTCCAGTGTTCCCTTTCAATTCTCATTCGGCAAAAGGAAGTTTTATGGCTAATAGACCAATGACCTCACCTCTCTACTTAAAATACCTCACTGGCTTCATAATACCTGCAGTGTCATGTCACCACACTCACAGTGCCACCTAATTTGTCTTTCAGCTTTGTTTCAGCTGTTTCATATATTCAAAACTTGTGTTTTTTGCCAATGTTCCTTTGTCTCTCATTTTACCTAGACTTTGTCTGTACTACTTCTACCTAGAATACATTTTTTTCCTCTCTTAATACAGCAAACTTGCTCCTGATCCTTAAAAATAGACTAAAATGATAGCAATACTTTGAAGCCTACTCATCTCACTAGCAGAAGACACCCCCTTATATGTTTCCAAAACCCCCTATACCACCCCTCAGTTTTCCTTCTTCATATCTTTTATTACTCTACTGAAAAATATCTGTTCATGTGTGTCTCTGTTCCTTGGGGACAGGGGCTGTGTGTTGTTTGTTTCTGTATCCCAGCACCCAGATCTTGACAAGGTAGCTAAGCAGTTGCCCTCTTGTTTGTGAATATGATACTTAATAACTATTATGTTTCTGGCATGAGTTACAAATCAATCCCTTGTTATTTGGACTTTTTCTGTTTAGCCAGGTCCCAGCAAGGATCATGGTACACACCTGACTTTCAAATGTCTGTCTTCTTTCCTGATTCCCATCATTGCAGTGATAAGCTCTATAAAGTCTGTACTCTTAGGGCATACTGTATTGGGCCCTGAGAATATAAACTTACCCTCGTTTTCTGGAATAGAAGTAAAAAAAAATTGGTTCTCCCAACAGAGCCATTAGATTGCTTTGTGACTTTGAGCAAACCCAGATCGCTTTTCCTCAGCTGCAAAATATGTTGTTATAGAAGATCATCTCTATAACTTTCCTCAGTTCTCTTCTTCCAAGAATATCTTGCTAGGGCTAACATATGCCAACACTCTGTCAGTTACTACTTACCAACCTTTTGTGAGAGTCAGATAAATCCTTCCATAATTTCTACATTGACTTTCCTACTGCTATCAGCAGTGTTCTAGATGTGACTGTCCCTTCCCTCCCTTGGAAGCCTCTTTCTTGAAAAGCAAATAACACTTAAAACTGCATGCAGAAGACTCAAATAGCTCTGAATTATGAATTTTGCTCTTAGCTAAATTTAAACATCATATAGCATAGAACATACAATGTTCCTGCTTCTGAAAAGAAGACTTCTCACTGGATGCTTTTGTTTGAAAAAGTTCTGCTGAACCTTCTATAAAAATCAGCTTCATGAGATGAAAAAATGCACAGAATTAAGAATGATGTAAAATATATATATATATATATGTGTGTGTGAGTGTGTATATATATATTTAAAATTAAAAAAAAGAAAAGAAATGTAAACTGGAACAAAAAAAAATCAGCTTCACTAACCTCAGTGTTTGTGTACTGACACCATACATGACAGGTACCTCTAGCCTTGTTTTGTGAAAGGCCAGCTGAAGAACAAGGAGTAGTTTGAGGTAAATTACATAAATAATACTCTCAATAAAAACTAAAATCATCTTTGGTATCATCAACCTTTAAAGGCTTTCTTTACCTATCTGCTTCTTAGAAATAGACTAAATTTTTATTAGCATATGAAGTTGGCTTTTGCTTGAGGGGGAAGTTCCTATCTACTCTTTCCAGCCAGAGGGACTCTTAACCAGAAAGAGTTCATTAGAACTACTGTAATGGAAAAAACCCAGGAGAAAGAGTCAGAAAGTCTGGCTGGACTTTCCAGTGCTAGGGAACCAGGTGTGCAATGAGCAAGCCCCTTTACCTCTCTGTTCCTTGTGGCTTACTGTAAAATAGGCAGAGAGACTCTGCCTACTAAACACATGTTTAGTGTGAACTAAACAGTTTGTTATCTCATTGAAAAAAATATAACCTCCTTGATGCATAAAACTTTTTTTCATATGTATGTAAAACACAGAAGATTCAGTGCTCTTAAAGCAGAAAGTAAAGCTGATTTACCTTTTTTAACTGCTCTCAATGTGTATCCCAACCCTGTGGGAGACATAACAGCTTTCTTCTGGGCTGGATCAGGAGTATATCAGAACATGACCTTTTCCTAAAATATAAACAGGCCCAGCTGAATTTCCACTAATGGAGGAGAGGCAGGGAAACCTGATAGACTGCTCTCCCACACCGCTTTCTCTATCACCTGCCTGTTTATCCGAAAGAGGTATTTCTGTTTAAGACTGAGTAGGGAACAGTTTTCAAAGTCAAAATAGTGGTTTTGTCTCAAAGCTTTAGCAAATAGCAGCTTCAAAAATAACAAACCTCAAAATAGATGGGGTTGCGGAGAAGGTAGTGACACCAGGAAAGTAGTATGAGAGAAATCTGCGCAATATTGACATATAGTCAGAATCTTTTGTGGGAAGTGATTTGAGAAAATTGCTGCCCAGAGATCCACAATGATCGAATATGTCATGCTAAATTAGTGTAGAATCCAGGAGAACCAAGGGGTCCTCTCTGCTGACCTCTCTCAAAGTTTCCCTGTTGCTGTGTACTGCAAGCAGGCAAGGCAAGTTCTCTCTCCTCCAGCCCTGGCAACCATCTGTAGACAAAGGTCAGTGAGGCATCTCCAAACCTTTGGTAAGGGCTTTATGCTCATTCTGTGCATCTAAGGAACGGAAACACAGACATAGATTTCTGTAAAATGTTGGGGAAGTTCCCATTATTTATGCCAAGCATAAGGACAGGATAGTTGTCCCTAGCAGTCAGAATTTATGACATTTTAAAGAAATCAGTTGAGGGCACCTCCCTAGTGGCCTCGGGATTAAGACTCAATGCTGGCACTGCTATAAGCTGAGTTCAGTACCAATCCCCAGCCAAGGAGCTGACCAGCGTATGTAAGGCACAGCAGACATCACTGCTCCCCTTAGCAGTGTATTTCAGTAGATCTGCCTGTTCCCCTCTGTCTTTGGTGAATCCTCTCATCTCACTCCTGCCCCGGCTCTCTGGCCTACATCCCAGTTCTTCTATGCAAAAATAAGTAAAATTGTTTTAAGAAAATAATCAGTTGAAACTTGAGGTCTAGTCAGGAAAGTGGAGAAAGAGTGAGAGTTAAAATTGAATGTTTATAGAAGAACTGATACCTGATCGTTTTGCAATTCTGCTTTTGCCTCTTAGTCCAGTTATTTCCCATCATCCCACAAAGTACAAAGAAAATTGAGAAGTCATTTCTCACTGGGTGATATTTATGAACTGAATCTTTAAAAGGACAGTTTCAGGACCAGAAAAGATAACTGGAAACATTACAAATACAGAAAATATCTCAAGCAGAGATCCAAAGTGGGAGAGGACTAGGAATGATTTTGTTTATACCTGTATAATAGAAGGTTTCCAACACATTCTTTTTGGTATCCTAAGGTACAGTCATTCCACTCTGTTCTATTTCAGGGAGCCCCTTGACAGAGCGGAAAGTCCCCATACCCAGTTGTTGTGTGTCCTTTGCAACAGCTGATGAGTCATCGCCTGTCTACACCAAAGTGATTGAAAACACAGATTCTCCCATCTGGAATTTCCAACAGCAGTCAAGGTTTGTATTTTATGATATTCCAACAGCCTTCCAGAATCTCCTTCTTGTTCTGTGAGACATACCCAGAGCAAGGAATAGACCATATAACAATCTTCACCAAACCTGAAATATACTTTTCTTACAAAGCAGTTATATAGTCCTAGTGGTTATGAATTTGCAGTTAGTAGTGATTTAAAACTATGTGGTTTTTGTTAAAATGCTCAGGATAACTCAAAACTAGTTCAGTAAGGAACTTTTATATCTGTGCTCTGTTTTAAAAGCACTGTAAATTAAGGATGATTAAAAAGGGCTCAAATTGTGGCATTCATGATCTTCTTGGGAAAAAATATACATGAAAAACTACAGTCAAATGTATTGAGTGTTAAGGTAGTGTATAAGAGAAGTAAAAAGGTTGCTGGTGGAGCTCAGAAAAATAATTTAGCCAACTTGAACATTAGGGAAGGCTTTTTAAGTAAGACACCTCAGCTAATTCAAATATTGTATACAAGTTATCTAGGTGAAAGAACAAATCTCAAGAAAGGCTATAGATTGTGTATCTTGGAAAATTTTTTTGGTGCAGTAGAAAGAGCCTGGGCTTTGAAACTAGAGAGATTTGGCCTCTATAAATGCCATCACTTGTCATTTACTAGTCAGTTGTGTGAACAAGTTATGTAACACCTATGAGCCTTGGATTCCAAGTGGGTATAATATTACAGGGTTATTATATAAAGTTAAATGATCAGGAAAATTACCTCATACATAGTAGGTACACAACAGCTCTTGGATCTCCTTTGGAAGATGCCAAAACAAGCGGAGGTGAAGTCCTGCCAATCATGTTGAAGAATGGCTTAGAGATGGGGCAGGCAGAGGCCCACTATTGGGGAATGGGGCTTGCCCTTCCTTTTCTTCCATTACCTGTTTCATCATCATTAGAAGTGTGAGATCTATTTCTAATTACTGTTACATTATTTTTATATTGCATCTTTTTTCATGAGTTTAACACTAGCTATATCACATGGTGTCAGATCTGCAATTTTCTCACCATGTTTACATACTAGATGAGTCTCAACAGTTGCTCAGATGTTCAGAGTTTCAAAATTTGAGAGGTAACTCAGTTCTCTGTCAGCTGCTTGAAATTATACCAAGTCTGGCCATAGTAACAAGGTACTTCTTTAAAATATCAAATCTGCCTTAAAAGATGAGTCCAGAGAACTGCGTTTCTGAGTAAAGGTGATTTGTTCATTCAGAACCTACCTTTGTGAACTTGATGAAGCAACCTTAACAGTTTCCTAATTTTAGCTTCTCATTTTATAGTTAAGAATTCTGTCACCCAGGAAGGTTATATAGTCTGCTGATAGCAGAGGCAACATTCAAAGAAAAATGAATACTGCTATTGTTTATAATTCCTTTACCACAAAATTATTTTACTTGATCTTCCTGGTAACCTTGTAGGTAGACATTATCTTATTTAACAGGGAAGAAAACCAGACTCAAAGAAGCTGAGTTCTCAGGATCACTCAGGTAATATAGTGAGCTAGAGTTAGAGGCAGGTAATTTTGACTCCCAGCTGGAATTCAAATCTCTGACATGGTTTTGTTTCACTTTAGCTTAGAGCATCTCATTGGTCTTGAAGTAGGCCTCTTCCATTTCCCCAGTGGTGCGTGGAGAAGGAAAATGAGTCTCTTGGTTTTCTCTAGTTCTTTATCTTGCTTACCTGAAGCAGTAGTACCTGTCTTGGAACTGCCCAAATCTTTGTAATATAAAACTAGGTAATTCACTTGATGTGTATTAGAGGTACTCAGTGAATTCCTCTTCAACATCTTTATATGGTATGAAAGTTAAGCACTTTTTATCATTTTGGTGCCTTGCCACTTGGGTATGGGTTTGGTAGGTCAAAATAAGGTTCAGATCACACCCCCATCACTGAGTGACCTTGAGTAACTCACTTCACCTCTGAGCCCTACTTCATCATCTGTAAAACAGGAGGAATAATGCCCATGCCATAGTTTTTGTGCAGATACCTGTATATGAAATATTTGGCACCCTGCCTGACCAAGGTAGCATTCAGTTGGTATTCCTTATCTTCTCTTTTCTCCCTTCTCACCATTCTGCCATTCCCATGACATCAGAAGAACCCGTAACAGCTCTAATATAACTGTTCGTTACTTCCTGACATGCTCCATTTCCACAATCCGTCCCTTTTCTTGAGAAACAAGAATTAGAACGGCAGCTTCCTTGAGGGAGGAGGCACTGGCTAGGGAGTACTGCATCCTGAGAACCTATTTTCAGGTCTTGGTAAATTATTTCACCTCTCTCAGCTTCCATCTAACTTTGAAGATGAAAATATATCCTAGTGACTGACCATGAAGATGAAATGAAGGTGAAGGAAAGTTCTTTGCAAAATACCAGATAGTCTTAAAATCTTAAGTTTCAATGTATGCAAATCTCCTATGTACTTCATTCATGATTGTTTTTCTTATAGGCTATCAAAAGAGCTTCTGTTGGACTCACAACAAACTCTGGTCTTCAAAGTTTGGCATAAAGGAGGTATGAACACTATTCTGTTGAATATCTGTGTGTTTATAAAAATAAGCTCACATCCTCTTGATAATTTGTGAATTCTTTTTTTTTTACCAAGTAAAATTATAGCACTGATGCTGCAAATGCATTTATATGTTAACGGAAATCCCACAGAATGCTTTGTCATTGTGTGGAACTTAAATGCTTTTTTGATTGACTACCTCCCTAGCGCAGAAAGCCAAGAATATCTGAATCTTTCCAGTTGTAACACGACCATCATAATGTATAATCTGCTGTACACAAATGATTGTTCTTCCCTCTGTTGAGTTGGCTTATTAACCAAGACCCCAGCATTTATTTTTAGGTAGCACACAAGAATAGAGTGTGACAACTTGTCCTTCCTTCTTTTAAGAAACTCTTAGCACAGAGGTGCTGATTTCATGGTCCTTGAGCTTAGTTTAATCAGCTACCATTTATTAGGAGATGAAATACAAGAAAATTAAAAACAGAGACTCTGAAATCATACTCTTAGATTCAAATACCAGCTTTGTTTTTACAAGGTAGTGTGACCTTGGGTGACTGACTTGACTTCTTTATAAGATAAGGATGGTAATAATATTGCCTACTTTGTAGGGTTTCAGGAGAATTAAATGAATGAGTTTAGAAAACTGGTATTTTGTAAACACCATCTCAGTTTTTATTGGTGAATGGCAATGTGCTAAGAGCTTTACCAATATCTCTGATCCTTCAAGGTAAAGATATAATTAGTTCAGTTTTATAGATTTAGTAAAAGCTGAAACCCAAGTCAAGTGGCTTGACTGAGATCATGTACCTTAGTGGATAGAACCAGTTTTTAAACCCTCTTCTAACTGGCTAGTACAGCCCTCACCTTTTGTACTTTGCCATCCTGATAAAATTGTGTAGCTCAGAAAAATGAAGTGATATGGTTATACAACTGTCTCACACCTTCTGCACTTAGAAAAATTCGTCTCATTAAATCGTCCTGTAAATCTGGCTCTTTTATAATTAGTGCTATGGGTTTCCAAATTTTTGTTGTTTAGGGTCGTCTATAGCACCAGTTTTTGTCTGTCAGGGGTAAGTTTCAGAATTAACCCCGACACTTAATAAAGACCTGAGAGTATTTAAGGTGTAAAGGAAATTACTTACATTTGCTTCACTTGGGAGTAAAGCTATGGATCTAGTCTTGACTTGATATTTGACTCATGCGGCTGCCTTGTATCACTTAACCGTGTGCCCCACGGTTAATTCCAGTCTCATAAATGAATGCAGGAGCTGATCCTGAATTCATTTTCTCTGAACCAACACAAGGATTTCATGCTGAATTTGCCCTGGCTTCTCTTCTTCTCTCTAAAGACCTTCAAAGATGGTCATGCAAACCAGGGTTGCCTCAGTTCAAAATTCACTTTAACAGGAAAAAAGTAATAAGCTTTGGTCTGATCCAGACCTGGATTCAAATCTTGGCCATGTATTCATAAATTATGTGACATGAGGTAATAACCATCTTACCTCCTCAAACCTCTGCTTTCTTATTTATAAAATTAAGATAATGATACACCTGCCATATAGGCATTTTATGAATTAGAAAAGTAAATAGGAAGCCTTTGGCACATAACTGGTGCTCAATAAATAAGGCTATTTTTATTTTACCTACCTACTATGTGTTTATTATACCTACTATATGTCAGACCCTATTGTAAATGGAAATAAGGAAAATATTTAGGCCAAGCTGACCACTGTTCATCCAGCTTTATCTCCATGCATATAGCTACCTCTTTCCCTATAATCCTATCCTTTCCATGCAGACTTACTGAACCTATTACAAAAAAATGTTCAAACCAAGCTGTATTTGATAAATATTTGAGTTCCTACTCTATGTCAGGCACTATTTTAAGGTATAAAGGTAAAATAAGGCAGACATGTCTCTGATTTTATGGAGCTTACAGCCTAGTGGGGTACATAATTACAGTAGAGTATGATTAGGCAAACATAGGGCATTCTGGTAGAAGAAATCTAACCCAGACTAAGATTGTCAAAAAGGGTTTCTAAAACACACTTCAGCTGTGCAATGAAAAGGGAGGACATAGGTAGTAGCCAGGAGGAACAGCAAATACCAAAACCTGGAATAAAGAGTAAAGTTAAAGTAAAGCTGTCTAGAACACAAAACTGCAAAACTGTGGGTTATCCACTAAATCTAATGCTAAACTTAACCTTCAAAACCACTGTTTTTCTTGGTTGTTGCTCAATTTAGCCACATTTTCTCTTTGTGTGTGTGTGTGTGTGTGTGTGTTTAGAATGTAATAATTTCATATTAGGGAGACACCTCAAAGTGGCATTACCAAAAGTTACAATTAAAGAAGAGGTTCTATATCTGCTAAACAAATGAAACAAGGTTAGTTTTCTTTACAAAATGGTAATTTTCAGAATACAAATGAATGGTCCTAGCCATCATTCTTCGCTCATAGTGGTCTTACTTGACCTACACTCTGGGGAACACAACTTCAAGTATCTTAGAATCAGAGACTATCCAAGTTGAAGGGCATCTTAAATCTGGCTGATACTCCTCATTATACATATGAGGTTTGAGTCTCAGGGATTCAGAGTAATGTTTTCAAGTCAAAAACTTAGTCATATTTGGGGTAGTGGCACATGACCCTTCTGTTCCTCACTACTTTGACTGGTTCTCTGATTACTTTCTGTAATGTTTATCAAGTTTCTCATGATGGAACATGGTGTGGAGAGTATAGGGGACGTAAAAGTTACGTATTGCCTGGTCTGAGCTTTTCAGTAGGCCTCAGTGTAAAGAAAAGCAAGTTGTATAAACAAATGTTGGACAGTCTATGAAAAGCTCACTCTCACCAACAGGGTGCACCAAAAAAAAAAAAAAAAAAACTGAGAGAAATCACGATCACTCCTCTTCAAAAACTGCATTCCTTGATTAATTTAGCAAATTGAAAGCTGAGAATTGTGCCACTGGTAGATTTAGCCTTTGATATTTAGTGCAGGAAATGGAACCTATTCAAAATTGGAATTTGGAGTGACAGAGGCCTGCCTGTCTGTCTATAGCTTCTTTCATGTCAGAAATAAAAACAAGTAGTAGCAAGTTTGACCACAAAAGTCATTGCCTGGTCACTTGTCCAAACTAGAAGGGCCTTCTCATTCATTAAGGGCAGCCCTCCTTTCCACATACAGGAGAACCTGAACCCAGGATCATTTTTTGATCCCTACTGAGTTTCCAGGTGGTTACTAGTCTTTTGTAACTTGTGTCACTTTTGTGGGTTGTTTTTCTTGGGGGATTTTTTTTTTTTTACATTTTTTTTAAAGATTTATTTATTTTTATGCTTACAGAACTGGGGTACAGGCCAAAGGTGTGGTGGATAGAGACAGAGTGGGGAGCAGAACAGGCAGATCAAGTAGGTACACTGCTGAAGGGAGCAGCAGGTGGGTCAGAAGAGGTCTGCCGCGCCATGTGGGTCAGCTCCCTGGCAGATCAAACTTGTGGTGCAGTGGCTGTGGATAGCTGCATAGTGCTGTGCTTCAACTCGTTGCGCCACCAGGGAGAGCCTTATTTGACATTTTAAAGGACACATTTATCAGAAAAGGAGAGAGACGCCTGCATAAACACAGATGGGCAGTCTTGGGAGGAGAACTGCCTCACTTTTGTTCTTAATTAAATATAATACATGTATATGTTATAGAAAATTTGGAAAATATGGACATGTATAAATGAGAAAATGAAAACCCCTCATAATTGCAAGGGTGAAGTTCTTTCAGTTTTTTGACGTTAAGCTACTACTTTCCAAAATGGCTGCACTAAGTGTGCATTCTTACTGGTAGTGTTGCTCTTTCTCCCCATCCTCACCAGCTCTTGTTGTTGGGGACCTTTTCAATGTGTTTCATTCCCTCAGGTGTGGGGTGATATTTTACTGCAGTTTTGACCAGCAATCTCCCTTATTAAAAGTGATAGGCCCTCCCTGGTGGCGCAGCGGGTTAAAGCACAGCACTAAGAAGCTGAAGCCACTTCCGCATGAGTTCGATTCCCGGATGCCCCAGAGGTGACCACATGGCGTGGCAGACCTCTCCTGACCCGCCCACTGCGCCCCTCAGCAGTGTACCTAGTTGATCTGCCTGTTCTGCTCCCCACTCTGTCTCTGGTGAAGCCTCTCACTGCCCCTGAGCCTCTGGCCTGTACCCCAGTTCTGTATGCGCAAATAAATAAATCTTAAAAAAAAAAAGTGATGATAAACATTTTTCCATGTCTATTGGCCTTCTAGATAATTCTCTTTGGTGAATTGTCTGTTCACATCTGCTGCCCATTTATTAATTGGGTTGTTACTTGTTGTTAAATTGAGTAAGTTTTTTATGTTTCTTGGATACTAACATTTTCTCCTACTCAGTAGAATGTGATTTTATTCACTGTATGAAAGCTTGTTAATTTGAGGTTATCCCACTTGTTTATCTTTGCTTTTATTTCCTATTGTAGGGGTGATTTCCCAAAAGCATCTTTATCTGTGATGTTTTAAAATATATAGCCATTTTTTTGCTTTCTAAAATCATAAAAGTATTAAGTAGGGCCTTCCCTGGTGGCACAGCGGTTTAAAGTACAGCACCAAGAAGCTAAAGCCACTTCAGCATGATTTCTGTCCCCACCCTGGAGGTGATCCACATGACCTCTCCTGGCCCACCCTCTGCTTCCCTCAGCAGTGAGCTTCGTCAGTTCTGCCTGTTCTGCTCCCCACTCTGTCTCTGGTGAATCCTCTCACCCCCCCACACCTCTGGCCTGTACCTCAGTCCTGTTTGCATAAATAAATAAATCTTTAAAAAAAAAAAAGTATTAAGTAAATCATATTAAAAATCACAAATTGCACTAAAAGTTTGTTAAATATATCATATATTTAAAAACCAAATATGAAAAATGTGGTAAAATTGAGCTGCTTAAGTAAATCTTTAAAATTAAAAATTCATGCAATTTTCATTCTGGAGCAATAAGTAAATGTCAGCCTTTTTTCCCAAAAAAAAAAATATATATTATATATATAGAGAGAGAGAGCCATTTTTTATATATACTTTGTACCCAACTCTTCTCTTTTCCCCACAGAAGAGGAGAGGGTCATTGGCTTTGCGTCAGTAGACCTCTCCCCACTTCTCTCTGGCTTCCAGTTCGTTTGTGGCTGGTACAACATCACAGACTTCAGTGGAGAATGTCAAGGACAGATAAAAGTTGCTATCTCCCCTTTGGAGAGTCTGATGCACCTCAAAGAAGAAAGGCAAGCAAGACGTGGCATGGATATCCCTGGATCACTGGTATGTATCCTGGTTCAATTCCCTGATCAGAAGGGTTTGGAATACCTTTGTAGCAAGATCCTTTACATGTGCTTGATACTAACCAACTTACAGAACACATGTATTTATAATCTCCTAAGGTCCCATGACCTTTTTGGGGTGTGAAAAATGTTCTAGAATTACATAGTGCACAACTCTGAAGTGAGCATTTCCAAGGCTGAATTTTTTAATTCATAAATTATACCTCAATTTCTAAAAATAAGATGGTTGCAGATTGAAATCTAAAACTATTGGTTGAAATTTTTTCATTCTCTTACATTTAAATTTTTTATTTATTTGTTTTTCTTTATTTTAGTTTGTCTTTCAAAAAATGAAAAGGGATGGAAAGGGGAATTGACAATATTGTACATATAGACAACTCTTACAAGTAGTTTAACTCCAAAGGAAAGAAAGAAACTTTCAGCCTGCCCCAGAGTGGGGAGATCTATCAAGACAAAGATTATGTGTTATTCATTTCTTTAAAACATATGCCTGCCCCAAGGCCTGATAGCATGAGCATCAAGAGATAATAAATGGACAAATACATGAGAAAATGACAAGAAATGCCCCCTGTATAGGAAGGTCTTTCATCAAATCAACCCTGGCAATCATGAGAAAAGAGATATCACAACCAAATTATCTTCACATTTAAGTGTTTAGATATTTAAGTGATGTCTAAACAGGAATTAAGAAATTAACTAGAGGCGCAAGAGTATAAAATATAGATACATCAACTAAAAAGCAATATGATACTATCATCTGTACAATGGCTCTCATAGTCTTATCTCATTCAAGAGAATTGCAAAATTTAAATGAGAAAATGCATGTTAATTTCTCGGCACAGTGTTGTACACTGTGAATACTCAATGAATTGTATTTATACACACACTGAATACTACAAATTAATTGATGCGTCTTTGTTCTAAAAGAACTCGTGTTGACAAGTATGCAATTTTTTCACTTCTATAGATCCCTACATACAATCCCTTTTCTTTCCTGGCCTCTGATGTATATACAGCAATCCCCAGCTGCATTGCAAGACAAACCCCAGAAAGACTTGTTCACACCTCTTCAAAGGATCCTGATTTCTCCTCTGCTGGGAGGTGAGTGATTTCATGATGGGGGGAGAAAGAAAATCAAAGAATGGAAATGTACAAACTGACCGGTCATTTCTCTCTTTTCGTTATTAGAAAAAGATAATAGACATTGGAAAGAACTTGTTAATCTCGTACCACAACCTTCAGGAACCTCAGGATCCTGTGAAAACAATTTTCTTATAAGATAGGGACTAGAGTTTTCATTGCTATCAAAAGGATGGCTTTAGTGTAAGAAACACTCTTGTCCTCAAAAGCATTTAACCTTTATTCATAAAATCAGCCATCAACTGTGTGACAAACCTAAGACTGTTCCTCTCCCAAACCTTTTTACTAAATTATTTTGTAAGAAGCAACTGGCGCATCCTTTTCTCCAAGCCGTGCAGATGTGGACATGCCTATGGATATAAGGTTATAACTTGATCTAAGAACAATATAGCCTCTTTCCTCCTGAATCCCTTCCAAGCCCTAGTTCCATTTCACCTCCATAGGTCTTTCCTCCTCAGGGAAAACAAAGGGGTCTTTCCTACCAGCAGGCACTTCTATAGCAACAGTTACTGTGTAGCCCCTTTATTCCAAGAAAAACACCCTAATGCTACTTAGCCTGTTTCAGTGTAGTACACCAATTGACCCTCTGTCCTCCACAGAAAGGGAGCCTATGTTTCTGTCAAATCCTAACTCGCAGTTTAGATAATTTCTCAGTTTCTTTGATCAGAGTCAGTAAGCAAACCAGAGAGGTAGGATGAAAGTACTGATATAAGGATAGAAATATGCTCTTTAGTAATTGTAAAAGTTAAAAGTTTAATAGGTATTTTTTAATCACATAGATATTCCTGTTCCTACTCCAAAAGAGGCACATAAAAGTGTCATATTCTAATCCAGGCAAAGCTAACCAAATTGTTTATTAATATAATGAAATGCTACTCAAAAACAAAAAGAAATGAAGTATTGATATACAACAAAATGAACTGGACTAAGAGAAACTGGACAAAGAGAAGTGTACATTGCATGTGATTCTGTTTATATAAAATTACTAACCTATAATGACAGAAAGAAATTAATGTCTGCCTCGGCTCGAGGCAGGATGAATAGAGAAGGAAGGAAGAATTAGCAAAAGTAGGAGGAATCTTGGGGATGATGGGTATGTGTTTATTATCTTGATGTTGTGGTAACGGTTTCTTTGGATACATACATATATCAAAACTAATCACATGTACTTTAAATATGTGAAGTCTATTATAGATCAGTTTCACCTTAGTAAAGTAGTAGTTCTCAAACATTTCTACTTCATAATGCTTTTTACTCTTAAAAATTATTGACTTTAAAGAGATTTTTTATGTAGGTTCTCTATCAATTTTTACCATATTAGAAATTAAAACTTTAAAACATAATATACAAACCAATTGTATTGCTGTATATAAGCAATAAGTAATCCAAAATGGAATTGAAAGTGTTTGCAATATAAAAAATAAATTACTGAATAAATTCAACAAAAGAAGTACAAAACTTATTCTCTGAAAAATCGTGTTGAAAGAAATTAAGGTCTAAATAAGTAAAAAAAAATCCATGTTCGTGGATTAGAAGACTTAATATTCTAAAATGGCAGTATTCCCTGTAATGATGTACAGATTCAAGCCCTATCCAATATATTTATGCAGTGGAATATTACTCAGGCATAGAAATACTGAAACATGCTAAACAAGTATTTGCAAACATTAGGCTAAGTGGAAGAAGCCTATCAAAAAAAATCACATTAAATAATTTCATTTATATAACATATCCAAATTAGATAAATATATAGAAACAAAATAGAGGAGTGATTGTCGAGGAGTGGGAGATTTGAGAAGGAAGAGTGGAATGATTGCTAATGGGTTTGGGATGGGGTTCTTTGAGTTTATTATAGTTTTAAAATTGTGATGGTTACACAACTCTGAATATACTTAAAAAGACACTAACTTGTACACTTTAAATGGATGAATTATACGATACATGAATAAACTCTGACTTATTTAAAAAGTCAGAAGATTGGCAGAATCAAGTTCTTGAATACCAACATTTGTTCAGTAATTTAAAAATAAGAATGATGCTGATTAAATAGGTCAGTACATGTTGAATGCTTCAGCCACTAGTGCTAGGTACATAATCAGGACTCCATAATATTTCAATTGTTGCTGTTGTTTATGTTTTTGAAAAAGCATTCAAGGCTAAAAATGTGTTAAATTTATTAAAAGGGAATGAGTAGGGAGAGAAATGCATGGGACTATGGTGGTGGCACACGGGTGATTTGATGATGGGAAACCCGCGGGGATTACAATTGAGATGGAAAAAAAAATGTGCAAAATGATGTAAAAATAAATTTTTGTAATCATTTAAAAAATAAAAAATTTAAAAAAGGGGGGAATGAGTAAGGCTGAAAGCAAGATCATTGGGGAGATAGTTGTAATTCAAGCAAAGTCAATGAAGCCTGAACTGTGGTAGTGAAAATCAACTTACAGTATCATTTCAGGAGGTTGATTTAAGAATCCTGGGAATTTATTTTGTTCCATTTACTCGTGACAGAAGCACTGCTGCAAGAAGCCAGGTATCACGCCATGAAGAGCATGTGCAGAACATCCGTCGATTTCATGAATCCCTGCAACAGGGAGAGGCAGTATTGCTAAGTGAGGACAAACTGACCACATCGCCTTTGTCCTCCCAGACTTCCATTCTGACTTCTCTCAGGTGAGACGCTCTACTGAGAAAAGACAGCAAATCACAGTGGAGGACAGGGAGTGGACAGTGGCAATGTTCAATACTGCTTTCCCATCAGCTGCCAGCACTCTGGGATGTTAGTGTAGCCACTTCTGTGCACATTAGAATCAAACTGGACCCTGGAGTCTTGTAGGAGTCTTCATAGATGAATATGTCTTGGGGCCTCCCCAAGGATCCCTATTACTAATCCACCTATAAATACAAGAACTTCAGCTTGCTCACCAAATGTAATTAAAACCACCCTCCCAGCTACTCAATCTCACATCTACTTTATAATTTACAAAGCTTTATATTGTTCATCATCTTTATCCTCACAATAACTGGAATCTTTCAGACCAGCATCTATTAGTGCTTCCCTGTCACTTTTTTAGATGAGTTAGCATCTGAGCCACAAGAACATGGGACTCTTGAAAAGGTCACTGTAGACCATATAGATCAGCCCTGGATGATCTAATAGGATGTTGTGGTGCCATGGAAAGGGTCTGACTTCATCAGGGTAGGGCCTGAGAATTTCACTCCTAGACAAGGTTTTAAGAAGTGTTTCTGTAGAGGAATTCTCTATCAAATGCCAATTTTGCATTATTTCCTTGGGTTCACAGAGCCATAAAATAGTGTTTCATTTGGGTCACAATAATCCTGTGAGGGCTACAGATAAAAAAATTGCAATTAGTAGTTTCTACATCCAGGGTCACTGACAAAACCAGTTGTCTGCATTATTTTCCAAGCTGCAAGTTTATACTTGTTTTCACTACAGGTGTTTGTTGAACATCTTACATAACTTAGTAAGCATCATGGCTTCTAATGATAGAATAAGAACCAGCTTTGTCTTTTTATTTAATTTGGATTTGATCATAGGACATACATTCTGTCCCTAAGAAAAGAACTTCAGTTCACTTCACAGGTATTTAATGCCTATTTTGTGCCAGTTGTTTCAGGCATACTGCTTACCAGAGAAGTAGAGGCCTTCGAGATACTGTTTTCTATTAGCACCAGATGCTCATGGTCTAATTAGGAAAACTAAATTAACACATAATGAAAAAATGAAGGGCCAATCTAATGCAGTTGGTGGGGATGCTGAAAGTGAAAATTTAAAGGAGAATTCAGGCAATGATTTGAGGGTGATGGCTCTGAAAAGAAGAAATATGAGCTTCACCTTGTAAGTCAAGTAGAATAGGGATGGAGCAGGGTTTAGTTTCAACTCAGGTTCCAAAATGCAAAAGGGTGAGGCAGAATGAACCCAGTTAGGACAGCGCCCATCCATTATCCTCAAAAAGACTTGGACTCCCAAGTCCTGGCTAGCATATTCTCCCTCTCACTGCCTACTACTGCTACTCTGAAAAGAACTTAAATTCTCTGGCCTTCGCATGCCTGATTTGTAAAACATTTATTACGGATTTCATCTGGTTGACTAGAATTAAACATTTGAAAGCATGAAATGTAAACTCCTGTGCAAATGAAAATGGTAGTGGTTGGTGTGATTTCTCATTGGTAGTGTTAAGAATGATGGTGGCGCCATTAAAGGTTTTTGAACAGATATTTTTAAGTCATTTAGTCATGTCTGTTAAGCATTCACATTCATTTTGTATAAAGCCCTACCCTCAGTGCAGTAGATGTCAAGGAATCGGCACAGAGCTCACAGTACATCAAGGGAAATAGATATGAAACAAACAAGTGACGGGGTTGAGGAATATGGAAAGAGCTGTAGTACTCAGAGGAGGAAGCCTTAACTATGGTCAGAGAAGGCTTGCTAGAAGAGGGCACTGTTTGAAGGCTTAGGAACAGTTATAAGGTAGCCTAGGCCAGTATTAGGCTAGAGAAATTACATTAGCCAGACAGAAGCAGGGAAAAGACGTCCCCAGCAGTGGGATTGTAGTCAGAGAGGTAAAGGAGTGAATTGGTGGGTTGGAGTGAGGGTCTTAGTATTAACAGACCAACTGAAAGTTATAAAGTTCCTAACTCAAGTTTAGAATGTCAGGGAAACATAAAAAATGTTTGTAATCCCAAATGATATAAAAATAAACTATTATATTATTTTTCTCTAATGTTTGTAATCCCAGTGAATGATGCTTTTGTCCTTTTCTTTTCTTACAGGAGGAATCTGAGTGAACTGGACCAGATCCAGAGATACTTCAACCAGAAACTCACCAAGCCTTTACTTCCACTCAGTCCTCAGATTCACACCTCCACCTTGCAAAGCCAGGAGAGTCATAGGGACCATCCTGGGCCAGGAGTGAGCAGCCTAGACCCTGAGAGTCAGTGCATCCTGGAGAAATCCAGTAACCTGGTATCACAAGTCAGCTCTTTAATCACAGGTATGGCTCAGGGCCCCTCCGTGAGGAGGTTATGATTTCTGGGTACCTATTCAAAAAGATTTGAATGTCTGACCTCAGACAAACTCCAATGACAAATAGAAAGCAACAGCGTCACCGTCTTCCTTATTTTTGTCTTCTTTTACTTCTTCCTTTTTCTCTCATATCTTCCTTTTGAAAGGAAAGGTGTAGGAGCAAAGCACAGAAATGCAGGCAGTGGAAGAGCATTGGACTGAGAGGCAGAAGACCTGGTTAGGTCCTTGAGTGGGTTTCTGGCCTGGACTTACTGTTTGTCTCTGTGCACATCCTTTCCCTTCTTAAGCTTCAGTTACCCAACCAAAAAAAAGAGGATGGTAGGTTGATTACTTCTTCGGTAGCAGTTCTTAAACTTGTGCCACTCTATATTTTCAGAAAAAAATCAACTACAAACATAATGAACAACTAATTCTCAGAGCCCAGAATTACGCGTCTGTAGCAAGCACCCCAAATGATTTTGAATGTCGGTGGTCCAAACTCCATTCTTGAAAAAAGCTTAGAAATAGTGGTTCTCACTTGGCTGGATTTTAGAATTGTTGAAGGAGCTTTTAAAAATCCAGATGCCGTAGGTTGTTGCATCAGGATTCAGGCATCAGTATTACTCCTGATTCTCAAGGTAATTCTATCCCAGAGACCACTCTAGAACAAGTATTTATCCGAGGATAAGAATCACTTGGGGTACTTATTTTGAAACATAGGTTCTTGGATGCTATTCCATCCTATTGAATCTGAATCTAGAATTCAGATCTGGTCAGTTCTGTCAGACACAGTGAGGAATACTGAGAAGTCAACTAGATCCATACCCTCACTTGTTGTCTTTCTTGTTCAAGTTAAATTTGTAGCTTCTGCACAGGGATGGCTAAGTTTAGTTGTCTCTCTTTAAAGGGACAAAAACCATGATTGATAATAGGTACAAACCTCCCTACCTTTTTTCCCAAATTCCTGTTACCAACAGTGCTTCAGAGGTCTACTCTGTATTTGGCTTCCACTTCCTTTGAAACAGTCCATCAGCTACTTATTAAGCACTAATTATGCTAGGTACTATTCTGTTAACTATTCTGTACTGGCCTGTACCCCAGTTATTTTATACATTAAAAAAAATAAATCTTTTAAAAAAGATAAACAAACTAAGAGAGGATAGCTTACTGATGACCATAAAGTGTTTACTGAGATTTGAACCCAAGACTGGCACAGCTTCAAAGCCTCTATTCCGACACACCACTGTCTCCATTTTATATATAAGCTTTCCCTGCCATTCAGGATGATAGATAATTTCCTTGCTTTTATTTTCTAAGTAAAATAAATAGTTCTAATAACTGTCATCAAATAGGTAAATAAGTGGATTCTCATTTTGGTTTTTAATATAGGTAATTTCTGAAGTAAATGGAAGCATGAACATGCCCGCCAGGACTCCCAGCTCCCAAGGATTCCTGAGCAAGAGCAGATAGTCTCTGAAAGCATTTCCACAGATGTAAACTCAACTATGAATAGATTAGATTTTGGTCCTCTGACATTAGAATAAAGTGCTAGAAATTATACTGCCTTGATTATAGTTGCACTGATTCTTGGGAGTGATTAACTATCTTTTAAGATCTTTTTTCAAAGTCTGATTGCAAGAATACATCTAAAACTAGAGGTTAGTGTGGGAAAGTTGAGTGGTCTGTGGCCCTACCTTATAGTAAGAGTGATATCTGTTGCTGTTCAGATCTGCAGACTGTCACCAGGAATTCTCAAGCATCTTTGAGTTCTCACCGAGCCAGGAATAGAAGCAGAAAGGTCACTACCCTCCCAGATGCTCAGGACACAGAAGCCATGCAAGAACAAAGCACAACTCCAGACCTGCCATTGGCCAGAGCTCCAGATAAGAGCACAAGCTCCCCACCTCCCCCTTCTCTTAAAGAAACTCTAGGTGAAAGAGCAATGTTCCATGAGACCCTGGGGCATACAGTACCTATTACAAGGGTGCAGAGTAATGAGGACACCCAGGCGGACACCCAGGCAGGGCCAGCCTACAGTGATGAGGACTATGAAGAAGCCATCATTGAGCCTAGGACCCTCAATGAGATCACCACCGTAACAGACAAAACTAGCCCTTGGTCCAGTTTTCTGTCAGACACAAGTGAGATCATTAACCTTCCGCCTGATGAGGTTCAGTGGGAAGGCACCTCTAGTCCTCCAGAGTCTTGCCCCAGACAGGTGCTCAAGGGCAGAAGTACCTTTCTGTCCAGCTTAGAAAGGGCTACTAACCCCTACCTGCATGGTCAGGATTCTGCTAGCCAAAGTCTTGTTCCATGTTCAGTTGAAGCCTCCAAGGCCAGGGGTAGAGATTCTGCCTCAGCAGACCCTCAGCAAATTCCACCCCTGACACCCCCAGGGACCCAACAGAGCAACGCCTCAGTTGGATGGAGCTCACCAAAGGCAGATCAGGACAAGGAACCGGAGTCAGAGGCTCAGGCTGAACATGAAGCTGTCTCCAGTGAGCTGAGTGACTCTGCTGATAGCTTCGAGAATTTTCCTCTGCGCCTAGCCTCTCAGAGCACACGGGAAAACCATATGGAATCATCCATCAGCTGCCCTGACATGAAGCAGAAGCAGGTGACATCTGGGTCTGAGGTGCCTACGAGACAGAGCTTCCTTCTGTATCCTTTGGTGTATCCCACAAGTGGCGCTTTAAGCCATCACTAGGCATTTTGGATGAGGGAATTCACTGAGGCCAGCATAGGTAAGTGTGAGCATGAGCCATTGCTGCGCTCACGGAATTCACCCAGTAGCAAGAGAAGACTTGTCTGCACTTACCAGGCACTCTGAATCTACTATTTACTGCAGCCCTCTGGCATCATGCTTTGAGCTGGGTTGAGGCATTGGTAGTGCATTCATCAGTCTATCCTAACCTGAATTACCTGATTAATCTAGCAGATATTTTACACCTGGGCTCTGGGTGTACTGTTAAGCCCATTAGCTCAGCTGAAATAGAAGTGGAAGGTGTAGAAAAAGGAGGAAGAAGATTACTACCACTGACTTACAGTGCATTGATTACTCAGCACTTGATAACTGAGTGTTTACAGTATGTCAGGCACTTCGCATACATTTTTCATTTAATCATCACAAGTCTATACAGTCATTGTCGTTGTTTCTAAGCTCAGAGTTAAAGGGGCACCTGACATTCCCCCTTTTCCTCTTTTGCAATGCAGATAGACCTGCTGTAAGGAAAGGAAACCAGTTAAGCCCATTAACAGCCCTAACACCTGTAGCCTCACTGACTCACCTGGTATCCCCACAACAAGAGCCCCCTTGATATCCCCACAACAAGCAGGGGTCATTGCACAGCTGATAGGTGAAGCCAGCTTCTGAACTGAACAGAGAACTTTATCTTCCTAAAGCAGGAGACCTTTTGACCCTTTCAGAACCAGGTACTTAAAGTGTGACTATAGTTAAATCTTCCTAAGCCACAGCTTCTTTATTTATGAAGTGGAGGCAGTAATAGCTCAACCCACTAAATTATACAGTCCCCAGGTAGGTCAAGGATCATATTTTTTCTGTCCCCAGCACCAGACATTACACATAGAAGGGACCAGTAAGTATAGACCAAACTGAACTATCAGTTTCATAGATGTCGATGTCTTCAGAAAACCAAATGTGAACACACCACACAGATGTGCCTCTTGATGGAGGCGATAAAAGGGGGGGGGAGGGGCTCAGTAGGTGTGGGCTCGGCAAAGGCTAGAGTGAAAGGCTGGAGGCTGAGCACTGACAGTGGCTGCTGGGTGCAGCTCCTGCTGGCCCCGTGCACCCTGGTGTCCTTGCTGCCTTTACAGAATGTTGAGTTTTGCCCAGAATGTGTGGTCACTAGGGGCCTATGTGCCGACCCAGGTCTTAAGGATACTGCTCGGAGTCAGACCTCCCCATCTAATCATTCTTCCAAATAATGAGTATCACCAGGCCTCGTGCTCCATGGACTGATGACAGAATTTGAGTCAGACCCATGCCTGGAAGGAGGAGATGAGCAGCGTTAGTCACAATAAAGAGGCAACAGTAGCTTGTTGCTCTCAGCCCTGTGGTGACACATGTACAAAATGCTCAAGAGACTGCCATAACTACGGAGGAATCTAGTGAGGGAGACGGTGGAGCTGAACCTCAAAGGTGAATAGGCAGAGGAGGGACAAAGTTCTAGTGACAGCAAACTATACTGAGGAAGGGCCAGTGGGGGAGCCTGATCTGTGGGTCGCAATTCACTGCAGTTACAGCCCAGGCTAGGGAGGAGAGTGAGACAAGCCTGGCCCTGATCTGAAAGGTCTTTTATGCCTGACTAAGGTGCTTGGCCTCCATCCTATAAGCGAATTAGAGGTCAGCTTCCTGATCTTTAAAATGAAGATAAGCATGATACTTCTCTTACTGGGTTGTTGTGAAAATTAAATCAGTTACATCAACTATGTGGCATGGTGCATAAATACATAGCATTCAGTAATGCTAACTGGTAAACAAGAGTGAAATCAGGCCAGACTTATACATTAGAAAGGTCTAACAGTACCTAGTTAGAGGGTGTTAAGAGGAGACCAGGAAGAAAACTTGCATTAAAAATAAAAGATGATCATAACTGAGAGAAAAAGGCACAAAATGATGTAAAAATAAACTATTATATTATTTTAAAATAAATAAGTAAAAGATGATCTAAGTCTCACCTGAATCTTCCACTGCTATATGATGAAGTGGAAGGGGGTAGATTTGAGAGGATTGGAGAGGGCAGAGCAAGGAATAGAAACAGAAGTGGATATAAGGTACTAGGTATATGTTGTCATTTACTACATAGAGAGCGGCCCATAAAGTTTGTCTGGGTGGAAGGCCCAGCTTTCCAGTTTGGACATGTGTCCATAAGACATCCAGGATGAGTTGGCTATAAAGGCAGGTGTCTCTGGAAACAGATAAGGGCAGCAGGGAGAGCATAGAGGGAGCTCCATGTGATGGAGCACAAGCAAGGGACTCACAAAGGGGTTAGAGAAGGGGTGGGCGGGGAGGAAGAGCTGAGGAGCTGAGTTTCAGGGAGTGCTGGTCAATGCCAGCACTCTGACACCAGGACAGGTCCAGTAGAACATGGGCTGGTGCGTGTCACTGACTATAGATTTAGGACCATGCAGACGTGGGAATAGAAGGCAAATGCAGCATTTCCCATTAAGCAGGGAGGCAAGGCTGGTGTTAATGAGTATTCACTGTGACACCTTTCTGAGCACTTGCATGTATAAGCTTGTGGAGCCTCCACAGGTACTATTATATGTAGTTTATAGGTAAAAAAACAGGCACAAGAAAATGAATTTTGCTGAAGAGCCATCTAATGCGTGATGAGGTTGGCGTTGGAGCAGCACTCTTAGAATGGCAGGCAGGTGAGTGGTGTGTCTGAAGCACCAAAGCTCCCCTTTTTGGTGCTTCAGACACACCAACGCCTCACAGCATCGACTGGCTGGCTGGCTGGCAGAGCAACAGTCAGACCAGGAACAGAAGTAGGCCTTCCCTACTGGCGTCTCTGAGAAAGGCTTAGAGCAAAGCAGTTCTTTCCCTTCAATATCTCCAATTTCATGCCCCCCTCTCCACAGGAAATTCAGGGAAGAGATGCCTTCCACTCATTCAGTAGATATCAGTCAAACACTTCCCTGGGCCCTAGACTAGGTGACAGGAATATGGGTATGGAAAAGAAATCACCTTTGCCCTCTTGGAGTTCAAAGTTTGACATGGAAAAATATTGACCCACCTGTTTATCATCTTTAGAATCATACTGAGCTTATTGAACAGAAACAGAAAACTAGAATATCAAAATAGTCCCCTTCCCCACAGCCCCCTCCTACTTCCCCAAACTGAATCATTGTTTTGACTAAACAAAGAATTGTAGAACACCATGTTCTCAAGGTACTACTGGGTATCTCCAGGGGATACAGAAAACCATAAGATGCAAAATAAAGATATAGGACCTGTCTTCTAGGGGACTCACATCCAGACAGTTGGCCCCGCTATGCCCATGACCAGCCCCTAATCCGACCCCACTTAATCCTGGAGGTAAGCAGAGAACAATCAGGAAGACAGGCCTTCTTTCAATGCAGGTAGCTCCCTCCTGCCTAAAACATCTCCCCCCAGCCTGAACTGGAGGGGGCCACCTCTGGCCAGCAGGCCCTCAGCCAGTCTACTCAGTGCCTGCTACCTCCCAGCTTTGTATGTGGCAGTAGGGAAGTAGTGAGGTAACTAAAGAGACTACACCGTTTCTGTGTCTGAGAAACTTAGGGAATATTAAGGGAAATAAGTTGAGAATCTTACCAGACTAGTTAATCAAACATAAGCCTGTCTTGCAGCCTGCTCTGGACTATGAGGAAGGGGGACCTCAGTGGGCCAAGATTAGGAGAGAGCCCCATAGAGGAGGTGCGACTTGAACTGACTGAATCCTCAGGGGTGAGCAGCACCTTCCAGGCAGAGGGACGCACTTGAGAAGAGGAGTCATGGGCAGGAATAAATGGGGGGGGGGGGGAAATGGAGGTGATTGAGCTTGGTGGAGATGCAGGTGTTGGGGATGAGGGCAGACTTCAAGGCATTTGTGTCCCTTAACTACCATTGTAGCCCAGAGCCCATTGTGGTACCCAACTTCTTCTTGCCTGCCCAGCAGTTGGAGGCCTCCATGCGGATGCTCTCACTCTCTGCAACTTTGCCACCACCAGTCACAACAGAGCAGGTAGGAACAGCTGACCACCCTCCTGTCCATCTCCTCCATGACATTGGTACAGAGCATGGAAGGTCCCCTCTGTCTTCCTGGACGGCAGCAGCAGTGACCACTCTCCACACTTATACTGAGCACATTCTGGGGGCCCAACAGAGGGCTCTTCGTAGGCAACAGTGTGTGGAGGACTCAGGAAAAGAGCAGGATATCATCAACTAAGACAACGTGGAAGAAGTAATGTAGAATCATAGAAAATATGATTTCTTGGCAAAGAAATGTGCACTGAGTGTTGTGCACACCTCCACTGCGCAGAGGTGAGTGTGAGCAGAGGACACTCCAAACAGGAGGTGCAGCCTCGGAAGACGATGTCAGATGAGCAGGGTTCGGCTAAAGGAAATAGGATCAGGGAAATGCCCGTCTGTTGTTTGCAAAGTACCTCTTAGCCATTCAGCATTCAACAGAGTGAGGTGGTTGAAACTCTGGTACAGATACCAGCTCTCCTCTTTCCCAACATAACAGGACCTCATCTGGTTTTTTTGTTTTTTGTTTTTTTAAAGATTTATTTATTTATGCATACAAGAACTGGTACAGGCTAGAGGTGCAGTGGTGAGAGGATTCACCAGAGACAGAGTGGGGAGCAGAACAGGCAGATCGACGAGGTACACTGCTGAGGGGGCAGTGGGCAAGACAGGAGAGGTCTGCCACGCCATGTGGGTCAGCTCCCTGGGTGGAGATTGAACTCCTGCTGAAGTACCTGCAGCTACCTTCATGGTGCTGTGCTTTAACCTGTTGTGCCACCACGGAGGGTCCAGGAACCTGACCTTGTATACAACTACTTTTCTAGATATTCAACATGTATTTATTCAGTTCCTATCTTCCGCATTAGGTATTGTGTTAGGTGCTGAGTTTTCAATAGTAAATAAGATAAATTCCTTGTCTTTGTGAGTACAAATAGTAAAACAAAAATAGGACATTTACAGGTTTCAATGACTACCAGATGCCTATAAAGAGCAAGGTCTCTGAAGAGGCAGCACTTAAAGTGAAAAGGTGATTATGATGCTTGCCGGGTACTTTATATCAACTCATTTACTTAAGCAACTTGATAAAGTCCCTAATTTTTATCCCTGGTTTACGGTGATGAAACTGGGGTACAAAGAGCTTAAGTAGCTTGCCTCACATAGATAAGTTGGTGAAGCCAGAGTCAGAACTCACATGGTTGCAAAAGTCTGTGCTCCAGACTACCGTGCTCTGCTTTGAAGGAACCAGCCACATAAGAGGATGGAGGCAGGCAGGGAGAAGCAAACGCGGAGATCTGAGGCTGAAAGGTCTGGAACTGACAGAAAGCCACTGGCCCAGATCGTAGGATGTGTAAACCATGGAAGAGCTTAGCTTTTACTCTACATGCAGCAGTCTCCATTGAAGTCTGTTAAGCAGGGAATTTGACTTAAATTTTAAAGATTTCACCCAGGATACTCAGTGGCAAATGGGTTCTCTTTCAGATTTGGCAACATTCTGGTCATTGGTGATCTTGGAAGAATAATTGCAGTGAGGGGGAGGTAGTGGGGAATGTTCCGCAGTGCTGTGGTGTTCCGGGCACTGTTCTGGGTCTCGGGGACTGGGCACAAAGCTCCTGCCTCCTGGAGCTTTTTTAAAAAGCAAGAAAGTTTTAGAGAATAATACATACTATGAACAAAATGTGTGAATTTGTTACTCATTGTAATAACTAGTCCCTATTTAAGGTTTTCTATGCTGTACACATATTCTAAGTACCTTTCATATATAAACTCACTTACTCTTTGAACAACCCAGTGAGGTAACTATTCTTAGCCCCCATTTAATAGGAAAGGAAAGTGAGACTCAGAGCTTCCCATACAGACATAGAAGGTACTATTGTTTATATTTTATCTGGAAACTGCATAAAGATTAAGTTACTTGCCCAGTGTGTTTCAACCAGTAAGTGGCTCGCAACTATGACTCCAGAGCTGTGCTTTCCTTTAAGCTTCTTTAACATCATGACACATGGCTTAGAGGATGTTTTTCTAGCCAGCATTTCTTTGAAATAGGTTTAAACATTTTGTATGATTTCCCAGAGCCTCCTCTGAAGAAGTTGGGGATCAGTCCAGTCTCCTGAGAACCTGGGGTTATGATCCTAAAGAGAAGCCCTCAAGTGGCTGATCCTCTTTCTTTCTTCCCACTCTTCAACTTCCCTAGTAGTAATTTCAGGAGCTCTTATTTGGCATATGGATTAATCAAAGTTTCCATCTCTTTTTTTTTTTTTTTTTTTTTTTTTTTTTTTTTTTTTAAAGATTTATTTATTTGTGCATACAGAACAGGGGTACAGGCCAGAGGCTCAGGGGCGGTGAGAGGCTTCACCAGAGACAGAGTGGGGAACAGAACAGGCAGATCAACGAAGCACACTGCTGAGGGGAGCAGCGGGCGGGTCAGGAGAGGTCTGCCACGCCATGTGGTCTCCTCCGGGGCAGGCGGGAATCGAACTCATGCGGAAGCGGCTTTAGATTTTCAGTGCTGTGCTTTAACCCGCTGCGCCACCAGGGAGGGCCTCCATCTCTGTTTTTATCAATTTGCAAACCTCCCCCAGAGCAGTCCCCTCCAGAAGCTCTGCATTTTTGCGGCTTTATTCCTGCTGTGGTTGGGGGTTGCCAGCTTCTCTCTCTGCATCTCCCCTTGCATGTCCCAGGCACGCCCACCAGCATTTATGCCAGGGTCTCAGGACTGTGTCTCGGAGTCCAGCACAAGCTCTTGAGCGAGATCTCTAGAAGGTGATAGACCCATTCTGCCGCTAAGCAGTTAAGTGATCTTGGGCAAGTGACTTGACCTTTCTGAATCTCGGTTTCCTAATAAATAACATCAGGCTAATCTAATTCTTACTCAATTAGATGATGACAAGAATTACCCGAGAGGAAAAATGTAGACACTGTTGATTCCCATTCCCTCCTGCCCGCCTAGCCAAGTGGGTGAAATGTCAGCAAGTCATGCCCATAGGAAGGAAGTCGGCGAACCATTGGTCTGAGCTGTCAGATCGCACCTGCCAAGCAGAACTGCTGTCCCTGCTGCCTGCATGATGTGCCAGGTCCCAGGGGGACACACTTGTCTTTGATCTGCTACACATATATACAAAGTGTAGAAGAGAAAGAAGTACACTGAAGCTCACTTCAGTGAAAGGGCAGTTCTAGTGTTGAGGTGATAACAAATCTCATATACTTTCACGTTTGTGAAACTTCATGTTTGTTTTTTCTTATCTACAGTAAATCACTCTCTGGGCCATCCCTCTCCCCAAGACCTCATTCTTTGTCCTTGTGAGGGAAAACCAATTGCCACAGTTCACCTGAACTGTCCCATTTTCAACAGAGTCCACGGCCCATGAAACCTCAGAAGTTGATGGTCCAGTGAGGGGCCTATTTGTTTCATTTGCAGCAGCATATTTTGAGTCTGGCTAGCTGCCATCCAGTGCTGAATAACATAGGAATCAAATCAAGTATGTGTTTAAGGTATTAGCAAACAGAGGCACCAAAATGTAAACGATTTTACTAGTTACATATTTTTTAAAAGCGTGGGATGGCCAGAACTAATTGCCATGGAATGGTCAAAACTTTGATTAACTTCTGTATGGTTGTAGTTTGAAATTTGAATTTTCCTTGGACAGAGGCACCATAATCTCATCTTGGGGCTTCTGTAGGTTTTAAAAGTGGCATCACTTTGTGACTTTAAGACAAAAGATAAGCCTTCCTGTTTACCCACACGCATACTGTTTCTGTTGTTCCTCATCCCCTTCTTCATATCCTGGTTTTGGCCTAGAAGCACTTCCTGCAGCCTGAGGAGCTTCCTTTATAAAGAGTTCCGTGTAGACCAGATCTGCTGATAACCAATGCTCTCAGCTTCAGTTGTCTGAAAGTATTTCTGTTCTCCTTCATTTTTGAAAGCATTTTCCCCACTGGAAGGGTAATTCTAACTTGCATTTGTTTGTACACTTTAGAACTGTCATCCCATCCCACTCTTGGGCCCTTTGTTTAGATGAGCACTAGCTCTCGGCCTTACTGTTGTTGCCCTACGTGAAATAGGATTCTTATTTTCCTGCTGCTTTAAAGTCTTTCTCTTTGGCCTTCAAGTTTGACTGTCAGTGATATTCTCAGTTGTGGAAACGGGAGATAGGCTAAAAGAGGAAGAGTGCAAAGATCCATATAGTATCTACAGCGTTTTAGTTCCTAGTTTGGCCTAACAGATGTTCTTTTTTATTTTTTAAGATCTATTTATTTATTCATACAGAACTGGGGTACAGGCCAGAGGTGCAGGGACGGTGAGAGGCTTCACCAGGGACAGAGCGGGGAGCAGAACAGGCCGACTGACGAAGTACACTGCTGAGGGGAGCAGCGGGCAGGTCAAGAGAGGTCTGCCACGCCATGTGGGTCAGCTCTGGGCCGGGATCGAACTCATGAAGTAGCTTTAGCTTCTTAGTGATGTGCTTTAACCCACTGCACCACCAGAGAGGGCCTATAGATGTTCATTTTTTAAGGATGGTAACAAAACAGATACCAGTGTCTTCCACAGATTTATTTCTCTGTGAAAATGGGCTGGAAAATTAGGGTAATGACAGAGTAGCATATAGGATCAAGGAAAGGTTTTTTGTTTTGTGTTTTTAATGTGGGAACAGGTACCAGTTTCTATATCCTAATGCAATGATACAGCAGAAAAAGGGAGAAGAGGAAGATGCAAAAGAGGGAGAACAGAACTCTCCCTGGGTAAGAGAGGACATGGGATCCAGAGCATGTGTAGAGGCATTAGAGAACAAGAAGAAAAAAACTTGCCCTGTAGCATGGACAAAGACAGAGAAGATGGGCACCAAGCAGGGAGAGTTAAAGATTGTATGGGGAGAATTTCCTATTTGATGGAAGCCTCTATTTGCTCAGTAATGTTTTTGGCACAGTCAATAATGCAAGTGAGAGGTAGGATAGGGAGAACTGGTGCCCTGTCCTGCACCCCCATTTGAGGATGCCGTT